GTGTCACGTACCTTGTCAACCCATACAGTGCCACGTACCTTGTCAACCCATACGGTGTCGCGTACCTTGTCAACCCATACAGTGTCACGTACCCTGTCAACCCATACGGTGTCACGTACCTTGTCAACCCATACAGTGCCACGTACCTTGTCAACCCACACAGTGTCACGTACCTTGTCAACCCATACAGTGTCACGTATCTTGTCAACCCATACAGTGCCACGTACCTTGCCAACCCATACAGTGTCACGTACCTTGTCAACCCATACGGTGTCACGTACCTTGTCAACCCATACAGTGTCACGTACCTTGTCAACCCATACAGTGCCACGTACCTTGTCAACCCATACGGTGTCACGTACCTTGTCAACCCATAGTGTCACGTACCTTGTTAACCCATACAGTGTCACGTACCTTGTCAACCCATACAGTGCCACGTACCTTGTCAACCCATACGGTGTCGCATACCTTGTCAACCCATACGGTGTCACGTACCTTGTCAACCCATACAGTGCCACGTACCTTGTCAACCCATAGTGGCACGTACCTTGTCAACCCATACAGTGTCACGTACCTTGTCAACCCATACAGTGCCACATACCTTGTCAACCCATAGTGTCACGTACCTTGTCAACCCATACGGTTTCGCGTACCCTGTCAACCCATACAGTGTCACGTACCTTGTCAACCCATACGGTGTCACGTACCTTGTCAACCCATACAGTGCCACGTACCTTGTCAACCCATACGGTGTCGCGTACCTTGTTAACCCATACAGTGCCACGTACCTTGTCAACCCATAGTGTCACGTACCTTGTCAACCCATACAGTGCCACGTACCTTGTCAACCCATACGGTGTCACGTACCTTGTCAACCCATAGTGTCACGTACCTTGTCAACCCATACAGTGTCACGTACCTTGTCAACCCATACAGTGCCACGTACCTTGTCAATCCATAGTGTCACGTACCTTGTCAACCCATACGGTGTCGCGTACCCTGTCAACCCATACAGTGTCACGTACCTTGTCAACCCATACGGTGTCACGTACCTTGTCAACCCATACAGTGTCACGTACCTTGTCAACCCATACGGTGTCGCGTACCTTGTCAACCCATACGGTGTCACGTACCTTGTCAACCCATACAGTGCCACGTACCTTGTCAACCCATACGGTGTCGCGTACCCTGTCAACCCATACAGCCGATTTGAGCAGGAAAAAAAAACCACGTGGACCAGCCGACCGACCGACCGACAGCCAGACCGATATTCATCGATCGAGTGGTGACTTCACGACATTCTTCACATTGTAGTTCCTCCGGAACTGGTGGTGATTTTTGCCCAATGCATGAGGCTCTGCTCACACACACACACACGGGCCCACGTGAAAGGGGGATGAGGTGATGTTGCTCTCTGATGTGTTTATTTAAAAATAAACGACCACCACGTCGCTTTATAACGACTCGCTTACCCGCAATCTATTTCGAACTTCTTTCGCGCCGTACGTAGCCAAGCGTGCTAATCGGAGGTTTGGGGAAGGACAACAAACTAATGGTTAATTTGCCCCGAGCTCATATCCTGAGTGCGTGGCCCACCTGGACACCACGCCATTCGTGAAGCTGCCGTCAAAAAGAAATACAATCGAAATGTACGCCACATGTCACAGCACCGGCCGCTCCATTGTGACGACAGAAGGCGGGGCTTCCTCGCCACGTGTCTCCTCGACCTCGTGCTTGACTTCCTTTCCTCTATGGCCAGCAGCCTCGTGCAATGAGGACGGTGGGGTGAGGTGAGCGGGGGAGGGGTGAGGTGGGAGGTAGAGCGGGTGGGGGGGGGAGAAGCGAGGAGAGTCGAATGTAAAGTTCGAGGCACTGGCCAGGGGCAGGACACCTGTGCAAAACGCATCAGCGCGCGTAACGGCAATCACGCCTCACGGCGACCTGAGCAGGGTCCAGGATGGCTCTCTCGGGCACGCCCCGGGCCACCATCTGGCCGACAAACCTGGTTATCGGCCCTCAACTCGAACTCTTACCTATAAACCTTGATATGAATTTCAACCCTGACTTATAAACCTTTACATAAGATCTCCACTCAAACCCTCACCTATGAACCTTGATATGAACTCGTCAACCATGACTTATAAACGCCGATACGAGACCTCACCAGCGTGATATACCACCGCTTGCAGGCAAGAGACAGAGGTACCCGCCGAGGCTGTGCGAGTACCAGGTATTCAAGTACAGCAGTAAACACTCTCCGCACGCTCACCGCATACAAACAAACCGCAAGCGTGATCCCGGGATCGCGATATCCGAACATCGCTCGTGAAATGCATAATCGTTGATAATCTTCTCATTTTTCGTGTGGCTGATGTTGATGTATAGCAGCAGCAGCAGCCATGAGTTTACATCGAGGTGGTTGATGACTGCGTCAGGAGTAGCGGAGTGGTGAATCATCACTGCTGTGATGCCTCCTTTATACAGATCTCTGTGTGAGTCGACGGGTCTGTATATAAATATCTGGGCCTAAGGGCCTATGATTTATTTATAGATCTCTGAGCTTAAGGGTCTCTAATTGAGTGTATGCGATTCTATAGAGTCTATGGGTCTCAGTGTGAATCGAAATATCGCTGAGGTTATGGTTATATATGTGACGATATAGATTTATGTGCGAGTCTATGGGTCTCTATGCGAGTCTATAGATCTCTGTGCGAGTCCATAGTTTTGGATATTAATCTATATATATTTGAGCTTAAGGGTCTCTAATTGAGTCTATGGGTCTCTATGCATGTCTATAGATCTCTGTGCGAGTCCATGGTTTTGGATGTTAATATATATTTGAGCTTAAGGGTCTCTAATTGAGCCTATGGGTCTCTATTTGAGTCTATAGATCTCACGGTGAGCCTATGGGTCTCAGCGTGAATCGAAATATCGCTGATGCTATGGTTCTGCATGTGAATATGTAGTGACATCGGGGATGTCACTACATATTCACCATGCAGTGACATCGGGGATGTCACTGCATGGTGCCGGCCCGGGAGGGCCGTGGTGTGCGATGTACAGCAAAACCTTGGATTGCGAGCATAATTCCTTCCGGAAACGTGTTTGCAATCCAAAGCACTCGTATATCAAAGCACAACGTATATCAGTTGTGATCACGTGACGCTCGGCAGTACAAAGTGTCTATACGTACTACTCGTATTGCAAGACCCTCGCTCGTTTATAAAAAATAATATTTATTTAAAAATTTAGCTCGTCTTGAAAAACACTCGCAGGCCAAGTTACTCGCAATCCAAGGTTTTACTGTACTTACGTCACGGACAGCCTGCAGGCGGGTGTAGTAACCAGCCCTAGCGGGGCTTGGTGAGCGCTGAGATAGCGTGAGCACCACGCATAGCGTGCGGTGCGGGCTCTCACAAGGGGGAGCAGGAAAGTGTCAGCCCAGGGACAGGGTTGCCCCGGGCCATGGCACTCTGGTTGACCCTGCAGACACGTGATCCGGAGTGTCCACAGAGAAGGTTCCAGATGGGAGGGGGGGGCTATGGGGTGATCACGTGTCCAGGGAGAGCTCTCGAGAGAGAGCTAGAACGCTCGAGAAGGTGGGCGGGGCCGAGGGCGGAGCCGGCCCCGACCCGGGAGGATATAAGCTGGGTCCTTGAGAGGGCCCGGGGTCACTTCGTCCTACAAGCTGGAAGCTCTACGTCCTACAAGGCATCAACACGAGGGTCTGACCCTTCGTAGATGTAACTTCTACGTATAGGGTAGTTAGCTGGGTGGTCACCACCCTAGGCTGTATCTGGTAAAGGGGCAGTTACCCCTTTGTATAAATGTGTTACAATAAATGTGTTGCCTCTAAAGAATGTCTGCGACTCAGTTGGACTCACTACAAATATAGATTTCTGTGTATGTGGGTTTCTATGCGAGTCTATATGTCTCTATGTGAATCTATAGATTTCTGTATGATTCTGTGGGTTTCTATGCGAGTCTATGGGTCTCAATGTGCCTATATAGATCTCTGTGCTAGTCTGTGGGTTTATATGCGAGCCTATGGATCTCTACGTGAATCTATAGATCTCTTTTCTTCTCCGTACGTGGTGAATCACCATCGCTGCTCTGACGATGCCACCACCACCACCTCCTCCTCCTGCGTCTTTACAAGTCCCGTGGTTCTGTTCTGGGTGATGACCACAGTCTCTGCACACTGCCCGGAGAGTTTGTAATTTTCCATGTGTGCATCATCATCATCACCCAGTGTCCACATCAGCTGCTGCTGCCATGATTTGTACAGCGGATACGGTTCAGGGGTTGTGGCTTCGTGCGTTTCAAGGGAGATCGAAGCCTGGGGATCTTCCGCACCGTCGGGCCTTTTCAGATTACCGTTGATCACCAGCCGAGGCAAGCGAAAATGGTGGGGTTGTGTAAACAGGCAGCTTCTGCACGCGTAGATCGCACCGGTCTGACCCGGGTCAACCATAGCCGGGTGGCGGTAGTGGCTATTGCGAGGGAGCGATGGTTGGTTGATCCCACACAGCCTCGTGAAACTCCCTCTCTGCCCATGTGCACTGAGGTCACCATCTCCAGGCTATGCCAGGGTGTGAAGGCAGTCCAGCAAGTGGCTGCACTGCCAACCCTACTGGGATTTGAGTGTTACTGTCCCCGTACGCGTGTGGGTAATCTCCGGACACTCCGGTTTCCTGCCACATGTATGGACACTCATTGGTGGAGTTGGCGGAAAAACATCCCAATATAGGGCCACAGAACTTGGGCAATTGTTGGTAGCGCCGGTGGCCCACTGCGGTGGCTGCCTCCCCGCGACTCGTCATCGCGCCACCGAGTCGTCCGCTCTCTACGAGAACGATGAGCGGACCCCGGGTGGTCCGGGTGCTGCGGCTGCTGCGGGAGGTGCAGGTGGTGCGGGAGGTGCGGGGGGTGCGGGAGGTGCGGGGGGTGCGGGGGGTGCGGGAGGTGCGGGTGGTGCGGGAGGTGCGGGTGGGGCGGGGGGTGCGGGGGTGTGGGTGGTGTGGTTGCTACGAGTGGTGCGGTGATGCCGGTGGTGCGGGTGGTGTGGGAGCGGAGGCATTCCGGCTTGAAGTGGTTGTGATTATCCCCCCGCGGGGGCCTCAGGGCGCGAATGCCGCATGTGCGTCGCAAATTCTACCGCGGCGCCCTGAGATGCGATTTGCACTACCAAACGCCATGGCTGCCACCGTCGCCACCGCCATTACCGCCGTCATCGCCGCACAGGGGCACGCGACCCAACACTGCGACATCACTTGAGGTCGCGGGGCTAAGTTCAGGGCTCAATGAACAGAGTCGCGGTGACCACGGAGAATCCAAGCAGCAGGGACAGCATCTGTGGGGAGCCAAGGAGTGTGGGGGAGGCAAGGGCAGACACAGCAACAATAATATTGTAATCATTTGCTTATTTATACAGAAGAACCACACTGAATCATAAGTGGGTCATGTTGTTAAATTGAGTATTTTAAGATGTTTTCAGCCAATTAATAACATAGGAATAGGTTTTACCCTTTTAACTGGCACAAAAACTGACACCTTTATTCAAGGCATCATGTTTACAATAACCACAACACAAGCAGTCAAAATGCAAACAAAAAAGACAACTCTGATAATAATATGCACTGTCCTTGAATTTGATTGGTCCACACCCGAGAGAGCTTTTCTTAGAGCCTAGTGCGCTGTTTTTGAGTTGTACGCCTTTTGGCGTCTTCTGGTCCAACACCAATGGAGACTAGGCTCTAAGAAAAGCTGTCTCGGGTGTGGACCAATCAAATTCAAGGACAGTGCATATTATTATCAGAGTTGTCTTTTTTGTTTGCATTTTGACTGCTTGTGTTGTGGTTATTGCAAACATGATGCCTTGAATAAAGGTGTCAGTTTTTGTGCCAGTTAAAAGGGTAAAACCTATTCCTATATCTTGTTTCTGGCAAAGGAGGTCTCATAATGTTAATGCTCACCCCGAGCCCTCAATACTCTGATAGTGCGCTGTTTTTGAGTTGTACGCCTTTTGGCGTCTTCTGGTCCAACACCAATGGAGACTAGGCTCTAAGAAAAGCTGTCTCGGGTGTGGACCAATCAAATTCAAGGACAGTGCATATTATTATCAGAGATGTCTTTTTGTTTGCATTTTGACTGCTTGTGTTGTGGTTATTGCAAACATGATGCCTTGAATAAAGGTGTCAGTTTTTTTTGTGCCAGTTAAAAGGGTAAAACCTATTCCTATATCTTGTTTCTGGCAAAGGAGGTCTCATAAAATTAATAACATGTTAATTATTCACGTGGCATTAGTCTCCACGCCACCCAGGGTGCGGCTCCTCCTCAATGCCCACGAGAAGGGAGTTTCACATCCCATCTGTGTGCGATTCATCAACCCTCGCTGCTGCACCCCACAGTGACGGATCGCAGGCAGCCGCGCGTGGCGTAGCCACCAATGCCGCCACCCAGGCTTGGAGGAGGGGGCAGGTTGAGGGAACTCATCGAGCCAGACCAAGGCTGTTCGCGAGTCCGCGGCTCTGCCTTGTAGCCGTAGTCACTTACTCCGGCGCTTTACACAGATAGGAATGAGAGGCAGGCGGGCGGACAGATCTACAGATTAACAGGCAGACAGAGGCATCAACAGACAGGATGAGCGTATGCACGCACGTACCCTTCACAGAGAGGCAGACAGAACAAGAGAGAGACAAACAAGCAAGGGAAACTGGCATATGGATGGTCAGACCAACAGATAGATAGACACACACACAGTCAGACTCACCAAGAGACGGATATGCAGACTGATTTAACCAACAGAAGGACAAGAAGAGAGACAGACAGAAAGACTGACAGGTGGACTAAGGCCGGTTCACAAACAGCCAGAACCAAATAGACATCCAAACAACCACAAAAATACGCAGTTAGTCAGGCAAATATTGCCTGACTGACTGACGAACCGATTACGACAGCTAGCGATATAAAGACAGAGATCTCTATACAGCCTTAACATGCTGTTGGGGCAAGTGCTGTTAGCGAGCACTAATTATGACGGCACAGCACACGAGGGTGTGGGTGGCCAGCACCACACCTGGACGTCTTACTCTCCCTGGTTCCGATCGTTGCATACTCTACCGGGTAAACATTTAGGGTTGAGTCGACCTAGGGGAGGCCCAGTACCAGTTCGGATGATAGTCACCAGTGTTGGCCGCTAACCACGCACGCACGCACACCCAGCCGACCCGGCCAGGCCAAGGCTCCCGGAGCTGGAGCGAAAGCCACGAAGACTTTGCGGGCCCCCACCTTGAGCATTGGAGGCCCGGGAGCCTGCAGGCCTTGGGGCAGAATCTCGACGAAGGTGACGAACACGAAGGTGCCCGCGGAGATGCCCTCCAGGATGCTGCGCGCCATCGTGTTCCCGCCGGGCACCACGGGGTCGCCGCGCGTCACAAGTGCGCCGCCCAGTATGCCGAGCGGCGAGGCCAGCGAGAAGATCGCGGCCAGCAGCCAACCGGCCGGGTGCGACACGGTCTTTCCGGGTCCCCACAGCTCGAGGCCCAGGCCTAGGGCCACCAGGGCCTTGTGCAGGAAGAGCGAGCCGCAGAGCCGGGCGAGCTGTGTGGCACTCAGCTGTAGGCCGCACGCCAGACCCTCGAATGCCGAGTGGATGGAGAGGGCGCAGGCGAAGGTCACGACCCTCACCCAGCCGCTGGTCGTGCCGCCGTGGCCGTGGCCGTGGCCGTGGCCGTGGCCGTGGTTGAGAGCTCCCCCCGAGTGCGAGGCCCGCGGGTCCAGCAGGGCTTGGCGCTCGCTGTAGTCGGGTGCCTCGGAGTCACCGTGGGGAACAGCAGGAGAGCACCAGCTGTTCGAGCAGCAGCACGAGCAGGAAGCCCGCGGCCATGATGAACATGTCCAGAGGGAAGGAGGTCTGCAGCCGTCACAAGCACGCCACCACCACAACAACCGCAGAACAACACACCGAACACAATCAGCACGGCTGTGATGTCGGTCTATGAACGTCTGAGTTCACTCCCTGCATTGTAAATAAAACGCGTAGAGTAACATCATGGAATACAAGCGGGTATGTACTTCCTGTCAACCAAACGGCCTTCTGGGAGTCAAGTCAAAGTTGATTTTATTTCACCTAGGTGAGAACCCAAAGCGACCAGGATGAATGTAATTTGCAAGAGTGCGTGGGTGAGTGCGTGGGTGAGTGAGACGAGGTTAAAAGTCACGCGGTGGTGATGATGTTGCCATGGGGGGAGGGGGGAAGGGATTGTCACGAGGTGGTGATGTCACCGTGAGAATGGAGGGGGAGGAGGTCAGGTGGTGCTGATGTCACGGTAACACTGAAACTGGAATGTGCACGGGCGGGAGATGAGGAAGTGAGGGCCGACCGCACTTCTTGTCGGAGATTCGATTTGAATTCCAGGGAAAAAAAAACTCTGAAGCAGAAGACACAAATCATGAGCAGCCCGCTCTCGCCCACAAATTCTAACACCCCACTCACTGTATCACCCATACACTCATCCGCTCGCTCACACTGTTTGACTTTCTCACTAATCCCCTAACCCAATCTCTCACCCAGGCACTCACCTGTTATCACACAACCTCACCTGGCTACTCACCCACCCACTAAATGTCTCACCAATTCACTCACTATCCCACTCACCCACCCACCCACACCTTCGCCCATTCTCACTTTCCACCCCCATCTACTTCACCTCCTATCGTCTGAATACTCGTTCACTGACCACACCCGAACCTTTACCTGACTCACCTCTATCCCACTTAACAGTCGAGATAAGTGGACAGTGTCTCCTTCGCATCCCCATCTATCTACACAAAAGCAAAAACACGTGGACTCTGTGTCCTCTTGCACGGCTAGTCGGGACCCCAACGGCCTTCGGGGGGGTGGGGGGAGCGCTCCAGTTCGGCGGCCACTGGTTCAGTGCAAGCAACGCTCTGGATCGGTCTCCACATTCAGCGTCTCGTCAGCAGAAGTGAGGCTCACTTGTTTATCATTCACCGCCGGTGGACTGCCAGGCGTTTACAGCCAAGGGCCCCCCTCTCTCCCTTATCTGTTGGATATGGGTCCTGGTTCGACACTAACTTTTATATAATTGCACAGCACAGGTTCATCACGAGAATCACCTTTCAACACCTGGCAGTTCGCCAGGAAAAACACGTGCCAGTTCGCCAGCGTTAGCTTCAAGCGAGCCCGGCTCTGCTGATGAGACCCTGGATGTTGAAACCAGCCCATGGCTATAAACACCTGGCAGTTCGCCAGCGTTGGTTTCAAGCGAGCCCGACTCTGCTGCTGACGAGACACTGAATGTTGAAACCGCTGCAGAGTGTCGCTCATGCTGAACAAGTTCACTCCCCGAAAGCCGTCGGTGTCCCGAGGAGCCGTTGAAGAGGAAGGGGTCGTGTCTATGTGCAGCACGGAGACAGTGAAGGAAGGAGTCGTGTCGATGTGCAGCACGGAGACCGTGAAGGAGTCGTGTCTATGTGCAGCACAGAGACCGTGAAGGAAGGAGTCGTGTCTATGTGCAGTACGGAGGCCGTGAAGGAAGGAGTCGTGTCTATGTGCAGCACGGAGGCCGTGAAGGAAGGAGTCGTGTCTATGTGCAGCACGGAGACCGTGACGTGAAGGAGTCGTGTCTACGTGCAGCACAGAGACCGTGAAGGAGTCGTGTCTATGTGCAGCACAGAGACCCTGAAGGAAGGAGTCGTGTCTATGTGCAGCACAGAGACCGTGAAGGAAGGAGTCGTGTCTATGTGCAGTACGGAGGCCGTGAAGGAAGGAGTCGTGTCTATGTGCAGCACAGAGACCGTGAAGGAAGGAGTCGTGTCTATGTGCAGCACAGAGACCGTGAGGAGTCGTGTCTATGTGCAGTACGGAGGCCGTGAAGGAAGGAGTTGTGTCCATGTGCAGTACGGAGGCCGTGAAGGAAGGAGTCGTGTCTATGTGCAGCACGGAGACCGTGAAGGAAGGAGTCGTGTCTACGTGCAGCACGGAGACCGTGAAGGAAGGAGTCGTGTCTATGTGCAGCACAGAGAGTGTGAAGGAGTCGTGTCTATGTGCAGCACAGAGACCGTGAAGGAAGGAGTCGTGTCTATGTGCAGCACAGAGACCGTGAAGGGGTCGTGTCTACGTGTAGCACGGAGGCCGTGAAGGAAGGAGTCGTGTCTATGTGCAGCACGGAGACCATGAAGGAAGGAGTCGTGTCTATGTGCAGCACAGAGACCGTGAAGGAGTCGTGTCTATGTGCAGCACAGAGACCGTGAAGGGTCGTGTCTACGTGCAGCACGGAGACCGTGAAGAAAGTCGTGTCTATGTGCAGCACAGAGACCGTGAAGGAAGGAGTCGTGTCTAAGTGCAGCACAGAGACCGTGAAGGAAGGAGTCGTGTCTATGTGCAGCACAGAGACCGTGAAGGAGTCGTGTCCTAGTGCAGCACGGAGACCGTGAAGGAGTCGTGTCTATGTGCAGCACGGAGACCGTGACGAGAAGGAGACATCCAGTGTTGTGTATACAGTATATTCGTTATGTATATTGGTGGAACTCTTTTACACGATTGTGTGTGTCTGTTTTCTTCCCAATCCCACGTAGCAGAGCGTGATGGACGGTCACCTGCAGCTAGACGAGTCTCTATGCAACTCTATGGGTCCCTGTGGAACTCTACGTAACCGCAAAGTCCCGTACCTGCCGCCACTGCCCGCTGCTTGGGACTGTGGTCTCTGAGTCTCTTTGTCACACGATGGGTCTCCGGTCGATTTACACAACGAGACAGAGAGGCAGGCAGACAGGCAGGACACTGGCCCGCCTGGTTCCTTCCGGAACGACGCAGTCCCGTTCGGATTTCCAGTTTCCAACCGGTGCGGCGTTCCCAACCTCTGGTGCCCGCTAGCCCCCCTCCCGCCCCTCCTCGCCCCTCACCTGGCCCCCCCACTGGGCGAGGCTGCTGGCTATGGAGGCGAGGTAGTCGGGCACGAGGTCGAGGAGGCACGTGCTGAGGAAGACGCCGGCCGCCGCGCACTGCAGCATGCCCAGGACGCACTGGCCTAGGGGACCTGGGGCCATCGGGGTCACACGGGGGACGGGGGGGGTCAGCGGGGTCACACGGGGGTCAGTGAGGTCACACGGGGGTCAGCGGGGTCACATGGGGGACGGGGATCTGTGGGGGTCACATGGGGGACGGGGGACAGCGGGGTCACATGGGGGACCGGGGTCAGTGGGGTCACACGGGGGTCAGCGTGGGTCACATGGGGACCGGGGTCAGTAAGGGTCACACGGGGTCAACGGGGTCACACGGGGGACTGAGGTCAGTGGGGTCACACGGGGGGTCAGTGGGGTCACACGGGGGTCAGTGGGTAACATGGGGGACTGGGGTCAGTGGAGTCACACGGGGGTCAGTGGGGTCACACGGGGGTCAGTGAGGTAACATGGGGGTCAGTGGGGTAACATGGGGGGCGGGGGGTCACATGGGGGACTGGGGTCACGTGGGGGACTGGGGTCAGTGGGGTCACATGGGGGACGGGGGACAGCGGGGTCACATGGGGGACCGGGGGTCAGCTGGGTCACACGGGGGTCAGCGGGGTCACATGGGGGACCGGGGTCAGTGGGGTCACACGGGGTCAGCGGGGTCACATGAGGGACGGTGGTCAGTGGGGTCACACGGGGGTCAGTGGGGTAACATGGGGGGTGGGGGTCACAAGGGGGACTGAGGGTCAGTGGGGTCACACGGGGGTCAGTGGGGTCACACGGGGGTCAGTGGGGTAACATGGGGGACTGGGGTCAGTGGAGTCACACGGGGGTCAGTGGGGTCACACGGGGGTCAGTGAGGTAACATGGGGGTCAGTGGGGTAACATGGGGGGCGGGGGTCACATGGGGGACTGGGGTCACATGGGGGACTGGGGTCAGTGGGGCCACACGGGGGTCAGTGGGGTCACACGGGGGTCAGTGGGGTAACATGGGGGGGCGGGGGGTCACATGGGGGGCAGGGGGTCAGCGGGGTCACCCATTCGCACATGCACGAATTTATACAGTAACTCATTCGCATACTCATTCGTGAACTCATTCATTCGCTGAATAATATATTAACTCATTCATTGACTCATTGGCATATTCACTGATTCTGTCGCTCATTCACGCATTCACCAACTCATTCACACATGCACCCATTCACTAACTCATTCACACATGCACCCATTCACTAACTCATTCACACATGCACCCATTCACTAACTCATTCACACACGCACCCATTCACTAACTCATTCAGTAACCCATCACGTGTCGCGCAGCTGAGCTGCAATCCGGATGTTCACAATCACGGCGCGTCCATTTCCGCTCAACTCCTATTCAGCAGCAGCGACAATAACAAGATTAATGCACAGCCCATTCTCAATCCACTGCTGCATGAGGACCTCTCCACGCCGTAGCAGTCATGGGGGGGGGGGAGGGGGAGGCCCAGGACCGCTTCAGGATGTCACTCGCTGCCGATGTTCGTTATTTATGGGAGCTCAAGGTGCGCTAACTGCGGCGCCACCGCTCCTTCAACTCGCTGAGTGACCGCAACCCGAGCCGCCTTGGCGGGGGGTGACGAGGGAGGGGAGCGGGGAGCGAGAGAGAGCCGAGAGAGTGGGGAGAGAGAGAGAGAGGGAGAGAGTGGGGAGAGAATGGAGAGAGTGGGGAGAGTGGAGAGAGAGTGGGGAGAGTGGAGAGAGGAGAGAGTGGCGAGAGAGTGGGGAGAGAATGGAGAGAGAGTGGGGAGAGAGAGGCGAGAGAGTGGGGAGAGAGGTGAGAGAGGGGAGCGAGAGAGAGAGTGGGGAGAGAATGGAGAGAGAGGCGAGAGAGTGGAAAGAGTGGGGAGAGTGGAGAGAGAGTGGGTGGGAGAGACACAGGGCAGAGCGGTGATGGAGATGGGGGAGGGAGGGCCGTGCGAGAGAGCTGGAGCGGCGAGCGATGGGAGAGAGAGAGGAGAGGGGAAAGAGACGGGAGAGACAGACGATGGGACTCGGTACCTGCCGGCTGAGCGTGGTTCCTGAAGTAGGCCAGCGGCAGCAGAACGAAGGTGGCGGTGAGGAGGAACATTGAGCAGAGCCACAACACCTTCTGCCACAGCAGATCCATGGCGGAGGCGTCTGTGGTGAGTGAGTAGTGACGGGAGAACACTGCTGGGAGCGAGGGAGACAGAGAGAGAGAGCGGCTCCTTGCGGAACACAACACTCACAGCCACCCCCACACACCCTCTCACCGCCCCCCACCCTCTCACCGCCCCCCACCCTCTCACCGCCCCCCACCCTCTCACCCCCCCCCACCCTCTCACTTCCCCCCACCCACACCCTCTCACCGCCCCCCACAACCCCTCTCACCCCCCACAACCCCTCTCATCCCCCCCACCCTCTCACCGCCCCCCCCACCCTCTCATCTCCCCCCCACCCTCTCATCCCCCCTCAATCGTCCCCCCCCTCTCGTCCCCCCCCTCTCGTCCCCCCCCTCTCGTTCCCCCCCCTCTCGTTTCCCCCTCCCCTCTTCGTCCCCCTCTCGTCCCCCCCCTCTCGTCCCCCCCCCTCTCGTCCCCCCCCCCTCTCGTCCCCCCCCTCTGGTCCCCCCACCCTCTCGTCCCCCCCCCTCGTCCCCCCTCTACGTCCCCCCTCTCGTCCCCCACCCTCTCACCCCCCCACCCTCTCACCCCCCACCCTCTCACCCCCCCACCCTCTCCACCGCCCCCCACAACCCCCTCTCACCCCCCTCACACCCTCTCACCCCCCCCACCCTCTCATCTCCCCCACCCTCTCATCCCCCCTCAATCCTCCCCCCCCTCTCGTCCCCCCCCTCTCGTCCCCCCCCTCTCGTCCCCCCCCCTCTCGTCCCCCTCCTTCTCGTCCCCCCCCTCTCGTCCCCCCCCCCTCTCGCCCCCCCCCTCCCCTCTCGTCCCCCTCTCGTCCCCCCCCCCCCTCTCGTCCTCCCCCCCCTCTCGTCCCCCCCCCTCTCGTCCCCCCACCCTCTCGTCCCCCCCCTCTCGTCCCCCCCTCTCGTCCCCCCCCTCTCGTCCCCCCCCCCCTCTCGTCCCCCCCCCTCTCGTCCCCCCCCTCTCGTCCCACCCCCCTCTCGTCCCCCCCCTCTCGTCCCCCCCCCCCTCTCGTCCCCCCCCCTCTCGTCCCCCCCCTCTCGTCCCCCCCTTGGTCCCCCCCTCTCGTCCCCCCCCCTCTCGTCCCCCCCCTCTCGTCCCCCCCCCTCTCGTCCCCCCCCCCTCTCGGTCCCCCCCCTCTCGTCCCCCCCCCTCTCGTCCCCCCCCCTCTCGTCCCCCCCCCCTCTCGTCCCCCCCCCCTCTCGTCCCCCCCCTTGTCCCCCCCTCTCGTCCCCCCCCCCTCTCGTCCCCCCCCTCTCGTCCCCCCCCCTCTCGTCCCCCCCCCTCTCGTCCCCCCCCCTCGTCCCCCCCCCTCGTCCCCCCCCTCTCGTCCCCCCCCCTCTCGTCCCCCCCCCTCTCGTCCCCCCCCCTCTCGTCCCCCCCCCCTCTCGTCCCCCCCCCCTCTCGTCCCCCCCTATCTCCATACTCCCTCCCCTCATCCCACCGAACCCTCAACCCGCCCCTCACCCCGCCCCTTCTCCCCCCTTACCCCCCCCGTCCGCGCCCCACCCCTCCACACAGGTGCCCCCCCCACCCCCCGCGGGCGACTTCTGCACAGGGAGGAGTGGGGGTGTGGTTGGGAGTAGTGGTGGTGATCCTTGTTGTTGTGTAGTGATTGTTGTTGTTGTGATAGTAGTGGTGGTGATCCTTGTTGTTGTGTAGTGATAGTAGTGGTGGTGATCCTTGTTGTTGTGTAGTGATTGTTGTTGTGATAGTAGTGGTGGTGATTGTTGTTGTGATAGTAGTGGTTGTGTAGTGATCGTTGTTGTTGTTGTGATAGTAGTGGTTGTGTAGTGGTCGTTGTTGTTGTTGTGATAGTAGTGGTTGTGTAGTGATCGTTGTTGTTGTGATTGTAGTTGTGTAGTGATCGTTGTTGTTGTGATAGTAGTTGTGTAGTGATCGTTGTTGTTGTTGTTGTGATAGTAGTGGTTGTGTAGTGGTCGTTGTTGTTGTGATAGTAGTGGTTGTGTAGTGATCGTTGTTGTTGTGATAGTAGTGGTTGTGTAGTGATCGTTGTTGTTGTGATAGTAGTTGTGTAGTGATCGTTGTTGTTGTGATAGTAGTGGTTGTGTAGTGATCGTTGTTGTTGTTGTGATAGTAGTTGTGTAGTGATCGTTGTTGTTGTGATAGTAGTAGTTTAGTGATCGTTGTTGTGATAGTAGTGGTTGTGTAATGATCGTTGTTGTTGTTGTGATAGTAGTGGTTGTGTAGTGATCGTTGTTGTTGTTGTGATAGTAGTGGTTGTGTAGTGATCGTTGTTGTTGTTGTTGTGATAGTAGTGGTTGTGTGGTGGTCGTTGTTGTTGTTGTTGTGATAGTAGTGGTTGTGTAATGATCGTTGTTGTTGTTGTGATAGTAGTAGTTGTGTAGTGATCGTTGTTGTTGTGATAGTAGTAGTTGTGTAGTGATTGTTGTTGTGATAGTGGTTGTGTAGTGATCGTTGTTGTTGTTGTGATAGTGGTTGTGTAGTGATCGTTGTTGTTGTTGTTGTTGTGATAGTAGTGGTTGTGATTGTGGTTGTTGTGATAGTAGTGGTTGTGTAGTGATCGTTGTTGTTGTGATAGTAGTGGTTGTGTAGTGATCGTTGTTGTTGTGATAGTAGTGGTTGTGTGGTGATCGTTGTTGTTGTGATAGTAGTGGTTGTGTGGTGATCGTTGTTGTTGTTGTGATAGTACTTGTGTAGTGATCGTTGTTGTTGTGATAGTAGTGGTTGTGTAGTGATCGTTGTAATAGTATTGGTTGTGTAGTGATTGTTGTTGTGATAGTGGTTGTGTAGTGATCGTTGTTGTGATAGTAGTGGTGGTGATTGTTGTGGTTGTTGTGATAGTAGTGGTTGTGTAGTGATCGTTGTTGTTGTGATAGTAGTGCTTGTTGTGGTGATCGCACAGCTGGTGGTTGTGATTGTTGTGGTGATTGCTGGTGGTTGTGGTTGTGGTGATCACACAGCTGGTGGTTGTGATTGTTGTGGTGATCACACAGCTGGTGGTTGTGATTGTTGTGGTGATCGTACAGCTGGTGGTTGTGATTGTTGTGGTGATTGCTGGTGGTTGTGATTGTTGTGGTGATCACACGGCTGGTGGTTGTGCTTGTTGTGGTGATCGCACAGCTGGTGGTTGTGATTGTTGTGGTGATCGCACAGCTGGTGGTTGTGATTGTTGTGGTGATCACAGCTGGTGGTTGTGATTGTTGTGGTGATTGCTGGTGGTTGTGGTTGTTGTGGTTGTTGTGGTGATTGCTGGTGGTTGTGATTGTTGTGGTGATCATACAGCTGGTGGTTGTGATTGTTGTGGTGATCGTACAGCTGGTGGTTGTGATTGTTGTGGTGATTGCTGGTGGTTGTGGTTGTTGTGGTGATTGCTGGTGGTTGTGATTGTTGTGGTGATCGTACAGCTGGTGGTGCATCTGCCAGTCGTCATCTCAGTCAGTCGACCCATGGCACCACCTGGGTGTGCCCCGTGACCTCCCGCAAGCGGGCTTTTGACACTTCACGTGGCCTCAAAGTGGACCTAGCTTGGCACAGGCGCTGTGGTGACGTCACCGCCACTTAGTGGTGAACGCCGGTTATTGTTGTGTTCGGCGGTGGGGAGTGGTGGCGCAGTGGTTAGGGCACCGCGCTACGATACCCCGCCACCCGAGTTCGATTCCCGCTCACAGCCAACACCGGTGGAGATTATCTGAAGTGGGCCTGGGACTCCGCTAGGTTGACTCAGCCTCAAATGAGTGACCCCGCGTGGGCTGTAAACGTCAGAGCACCGGGGAGACAAAGGCGGCCATGCGTGGTGCAGGCCACACCCCCCGCTTGCGAGCCGTGCCACCGGCCTTCACAGGTGGTGCTAGCTCTCAGCAGTCTAGGGCTGAACGATTAATCGATTTCAAATCGAAATCGCAATTTGAAACAATGGCTGCGATTTTTTGCGATTGTTTTATTTTTTATTATTATAACTTTCTTTATTTAACTTAACAATTGTTCTTTGATTGATTGTTCTATTTCAATTAAAACATTTTAATAAATACATGTTGGAAGCAATTCATACCTTTTAAGTTCTCGTCCTTGCATTAGAATTTATAGAGCAGTTCATATTTGGATGGTATCACGTGGTAATGCTCCATCACATGTGTACTGAGTCCAACTGAGTCGCAGACGTTATCTTGGGAGCAACACTTTATTACGTAACTTTAACACAACATCACACAATCTACACTCGGGTGTCGAATGCCCATCTAACCACGCTACGGCAGTACTAGACACGGTTCGCCACAAGCTGGCTGCCGGACCGCGTGGCTAAAGGCTTCTTCTCCCCGACGTGGATCTTCTTCACACCAGCACACGAATAACCCTGAGCTCGTCACGGAGACCCCATTATATTCCCCTGGGCTGGGGCTGGCTCCGCCCTTAGCCCCGCCCACCTTCCAGATCTCTCGAGCTCTTTCTCGAAGGCTCCTGAGAGCTCTTTTAGACCACGTGACCGCCCAGCGGCCCCCGTCCACTGGTGGCCCCCCTCCAATATCATCCGGTCACGTGTCGGCAGGTCAACAAGCGTATCATGCTCCAACGTAACCCTGGCTGGCTGACACTCCCTCTCGCTCCCTCACCGGGAGTCCTCACCGCACACTGCTCGCGGTGCCTCCGCGCTGACCAACGCTCACCCAAGCCCCGCCAGGGCTGGTACTATGCCCCGTAAGCGGGCCACACATAATGTCAGCACATTATCTGCCGTGGCTTCGTAAGCCCGGCACCACACAGTGACAATCACAGTCACTACACATGTGTAGTGACATCGGGGATGTGACTGTATGGTGCCGGCCTGAGAGGGCCGTGGCACGCGATGTACCGTCATTGCGTACATCCCGTAGGGGGGTGTAGTACCAGCCCTAGTGTGCGCTGGGATTGCGCGGGCACCGCGCATAGCGTGCAATGCGGGTTTCCACAAGGGGGAGTGGGCGAGTGTCAGCCCAGGGGCAGGGTTGCCCCGGGCCATGGCACTCTGGTTGACCCCGTAGACACGTGTTCTGGAGTGTCCACAGAGAGGCCCCCAGGTGGGGGGACTAGAGGGTGATCACGTGTCTGGGGAGAGCTCTCGAGGGGGATTGGAAGAGAGCTAGAAAGCTTGAGAAGGCAGGCGGGGCCAAAGGCAGAGCAGCCCCGACCCAAGGGAATATAAGGTGGGTCCCTGAGAAGGACCGGCGTCGCTGCATTCTACAAGCTGAAGCTCTATGTCCTGAAGCTCTACGTCCTACAAGCTGGAAGCTCTACAGGCATTAACCCGAGTGCGGGTCAGACCCTTCTGTTGTAACTCCTCCGTATAAGGTAGTTAGCTTGGTGGCCACCACCCTAGGCTGTATCTGGTGAAGGGGCAGTTACCCCTTTGTGTTACGTGTTGATGTTACGAGTAAATGTGTTGCCTCTAAACAACAACGTCTGCGACTCAGTTGGACTCACTACAACTGGTGTCGGAAGTGGCCAACACGCTAGTTTATACAGCTAGCTGTAGATTCAGTCTACACATCCCAGACCACGTACCAGGACGTCGGGGGACGAAGAACTCGTGCTGCCTACAGCTTTGGAGGATGCGGGGTGCCTTTCGGGCGCTCGACGCTTTGCCGTCGGCAGAGGCGACCCTCCGGGAGGCGCGCGATCGCCTCGCGGAGCTCCTCCATGCTGCGACTTCGCTCCTCGCGGAGTTCTGTCCCAGGGTCTCGCCGGGGAAGGAGGGAGCGGCGATGCCGCCCGGGGACGACGACTCCGCCGCCATTTCGCAGCTGGCGGGAAACTCGGCGGCGCAGCCCGCGCATTTTGCCGCCATTTTGTTGCCGGAGCGGAGCGCGCAGCCCGCCAAAAATTGAGGATGCACCGTCGGCGCCCAGGGACATCCCGGCTCTCTAGCGTCAGTCTCCCTTCGCTGGAGAGGTTGCAGCTACCGGTGGCGACTGGGTGGCCTTTAAGCGGCGGTTCCTCACGAACGCCGGCTTGGCGGGGTGGACGGAGACAGAGGCACGCTGCGGGTGCTACCTGCCACCCTTGACGACGACGTCCTTGCAGCGTTTCTCGCCATCCCGCCGTCGGAGAGGTCCACCCTCACACAGGCTTTCGACTGGTTGGCGTCTATTTACAAACCACCAACGGAAGCGCGCCACAAATTCGCCACGCGATGGAAGGGGGAGAACGAGTCGGTCCTCGCCTTCCATAGCGCACTTTTGGCGCTGGCGAAAGCCGCATTCCCGGAGATGGACCACGATGGCATCGTTGCGTTGGTTCCTCGAGAGATTGCTGGCCTTGGCGGAAACCCTTCACGTCATCCTTCCAGCCGAAGATGATGACATCTCCTCTCTCAAGGTCGCTGGGTGCATCCGAGCCCAGCTACTTTTACAACGGGACAGGGCGCAGGTGACGTGTGCTGTGTCCTGCATGGGGCCGGGGCCACCTGATGCAATGGAGCCCCTTTTGGCGTGTGCGTTGACTCGGGATGAAGGCGACCGGTGTGGCAATGGCGCACGGCGGAGGGACGAGCAGCGGCGGTCAAGGTCGTTGTCTCGTTCCGGAGGCGGCCGTGTTATCTGCTACAATTGCGGCCTGCCGGCACACGTGTCATCGGGCTGCCACGTACCACGGCGGCGCCTCCCAGCATCACCGCCATCCTACGTTTCCATACACCCCGAGGCGAGTCGCGACGCACTCCACACCCGACCCCTAGCCTCACCTCACCCATCTAGGCGTTTTGTTTCGCGGACCGATCGCGCGTCGGTACGGGGGAGTCCTACGCGTGATATTGAGGATCGTCAGCTCCGACCGGGTCAGTGGTCGGAGCTGGCCCATCGAGTGGTGGCTGCTGCCACGGGTTCATCTACCGTGCTTGGGTCCATTGAGGGTGTGGAAATAAGGATGCTAGTCGACACGGGTGCATTGGCAACTATCATTTCGGAGATAATTTTCAATATGTTGCCCCCTAAGTGTCGGGTCCTAGACCCTGTCGATGTGCCGTGTTTCGCCACTGATGGCGGCTCACTGAGCATCATCGGTCGGATAACGGCCGAGATGCGCATTGCTGACGTTAAATTATCGGGACACATTCTTCTCTCCACGTCATTGGCTGTTCCATGTTTACTTGGAACCGATTACCTTGGTAGGATGCCATTGGAAATTTGCATTGACTGGAGCTGTTTGGAATTGCCAGCGATTTTGTTCCGCTCCAAGGTGCTGTGCGACTGATGTCCCCTGCACGGCCGTGCGTGCCGGCTTCGCAGGCTTCGAGCGCGGAGGATTCATCAACCCGGCCTACTGCTCTCCGTGAGGAGCTGGGTTTGGTGGAACATTTACACATTACCCCCGGGACCTCCAGGGCGAGCAAGCCCACCTCCCCTGGGGGGGCCCGGTATCAAGCACTCGCTCAAAGACTCATTTTTCGTGATTCCCTCGCACACGCCCCACGCTGTCAGTTGCTTGTCGCGCTCGCTGTTTCGTGGCGGTCGTTGGCTGATCCTGGCCGCCATTGAGCTCACGAGCATCGTTACATGGTGAAGGCGGGAGGTGTGATGGTAAGAGGGATCCCGAGGATTTACGCGTTTTTTTATATTGCTTGTTGATGGGGTGTTGTTGTTATGGGTTCGTTGGTTTACACCCTTCTCCCTGTTGGTTTGTACATTTGTAGATAGTGTAATTTGTGTACAGGTGGGTTGGGGTATTTATCCTGTTCTGTTATTGTTGAAGCACACTGTCATTGCATTTCAATAATTTGTTCGGTTGAAGGGGGGGTTGACAGCCGGGACGGCTGAATGCTACGAAGGGGGGGGAGGGTGATGTAGTGACATCGGGGATGTCACTGTATGGTGCCGGCCCGAGAGGGCCGTGGCACGCGATGCACCGTCATCGCGTGCACCCCGTAGGTGGGTGTAGTACCAGCCCTAGCGGGGCTTGGTGTGTGCTGGGATAGCGCGGGCACCACGCACAGCGCGCGGTGCGGGCTCCCACAAGGGGGAGTGGGAGAGTGTCAGCCCAGGGACAGGGTTGCCCCGGGCCATGGCACTCTGGTTGACCCCGTAGACACGTGATCCGGAGTGTCCACAGAGAGGCCCCCAGGTGGGGGGGCTAGGGGGTGATCACGTGTCCGGGGAGAGCTCTCGAGGGGGATCGGGAGAGAGCTAGAACGCTCGAGAAGGCGGGCGGGGCTGAGGGCGGAGCAGTCCCGACCCAGGGGGGGATATAAGGTGGGTCCCTGAGAGGGACCGGGGTCGCTGCATTCTACAAGCTGGAAGCTCTACGTCCTACAAGCTGTAAGCTCTACAGGCATCAACACGTGGCCGGGATCTGAGTGCGGGTCAGACCCTCCGTATAGGGTAGTTAGCTGGGTGGCCGCCACCCTAGGCTGTATCTGGTGAATGGGAAGTTACTCTTTTGTGTTGCCTCTAAAGAACGTCTGCAACTCAGTTGGACTCACTACACATGTTTTAAATCTATTACACAGTGAATATTGAAGTGAAGCTTGACTTAAACATTATAATCGCAATATCTGTCAGAAAAATCTCAATTAGATATTTTCCCCAGATCGTTCAGCCTTACGCAGCACTTGCCCCAAACAGCCTGTTCAAGGCTACACGTGGGAGGTGGGTCTTTGTCTGCCTGTGTCAGTGTGGGTGATGCTGGCTGGGTGTGTGAGGAGCGGTGGTGTAGCGGTCAGCGCTACGGACCCGGCCACCCGAGTTCGATTTCCCGCTCACGGCCAACACCGCGGTGACGATTATCTTAACCGGTCCTCGGCCTCCCCTAGGTCGACTCAGCCTCAAATGAGAACCCGGTGCGATGTGTAGTAAAACATCGCCGCTGGGGAGACAAAGGCGGCCGGGCGTGGTGCCGGCCACCCGACCCCCTCGTGTGCCGTGCCGACCTTCACAGGTGCTGCTCGCTGTCAGCACTTGCCCCAACAGTCTGTCGAGGCTACACGGGGGATCTTTGTTTGTCGAGGCTGCCTGTAGTCACCCAGAGAAGCGGTGGTTGTGTAAAGCAGCACAGTCGGTGGCCGCTTAACGCTTCGCAGCAAGATGGGGCTGGAACGAGCGTCGTGGTGCCGTCACCGCCGCTAAGTTGCGAATGGCGCTTGTTGTTGTGGTGATTGCTGATTGGCTGTGATTGTTGTTGTAGTGATTGCTGATTGGTTGTGATTGTTGTTGTAGTGATTGCTGATTGGTTGTGGTTGTTGTGGTGATTGCTGATTGGCTGTGGTTGTTGTAGTGATTGCTGATTGGTTGTGATTGTTATTGTAGTGATTGCTGATTGGTTGTGGTTGTTGTAGTGATTGCTGTTTGATTGTGGTTGTTGTAGTGATTGCTGATTGGTTGTGGTTGTTGTAGTGATTGCTGTTTGGTTGTGGTTGTTGTAGTGATTGCTGATTGGTTGTGATTCTTGTAGTGATTGCTGTTTGGTTGTGGTTTTTGTTGTGGTGATTGCTGATTGGTTGTGGTTGTTGTTGTAGTGATTGCTGTTTGGTTGTGCTTGTTGTTGTGATTGCTGTTTGGTTGTTGTAGTGATTGCTGATTGGTTGTGGTTGTTGTTGTGATTGCTGATTGGTTGTGGTTGTTGTGGTGATTGCTGATTGGTTGTGGTTGTTGTTGTGATTGCTGATTGGTTGTGGTTGTTGTGGTGATTGCTGATTGGTTGTGGTTGTTGTTGTGATTGCTGATTGGTTGTGGTTGTTGTAGTGATTGCTCGTTGGTTGTGGTTGTTGTTGTGATTGCTGTTTGGTTGTGGTTGTTGTAGTCGTGATTGCTGATTGGCTGTGATTGTTGTAGTGGTTGCTGATTGGTTGTGGTTATGGTTGTTGTGATTGCTGATTGGTTGTGGTTGTTGTTGTTGTGATTGCTGATTGGTTGTGGTTGTTGTTGTTGTTGTTGTGATTGCTGATTGGTTGTGGTTGTTGTTGTTGTGATTGCTGATTGGTTGTGGTTGTTGTTGTGATTGCTGATTGGTTGTGGTTGTTGTTGTAGTGATTGCTGTTTGGTTGTGGTTGTTGTAGTGATTGCTGATTGTTTACATTATGAGACCTCCTTTGCCAGTAACAAGATGTAGTAATAGGTTTTTACCCTTTTATCTGGCACAAAAACTGACACCTTTATACAAGGGATCATGTTTGCAATAACCACAACACAAGCAGTCAAAATGCAAACAAAAAAGACAACTCTGATAATGATATTGGCACTGTTCTAGAATTTGATTAGTCCACACCCGAGACGGCTTTTCTTAGAGCCCTTAGTCTCCACTGGTGTTGGACCAGATGATGCCAAAAGGCGTACAACTCAAAAACAGCGCACCATCAGAGTATTGAGAGCTCGGGGTGAGCATTTACATTATGAGACCTCCTTTGCCAGTCGCAAGATATAGTAATAGGTTTTCACCCTTTTATCTGGCACAAAAACTGACACCTTTATACAAGGGATCATGTTTGCAATAACCACAACACAAGCAGTCAAAATGCAAACAAAAAAGACAACTCTGATAATGATATGTACTGTCCTTGAATTTGATTGGTCCACACCCTAGACGGCTTTTCTTAGAGCCAGATAAAAGGAGGTCTCAATGTAAATGCTTACCCCGAGCTGTCAATACTCTGATAGTGTGCTGTTTTTGAGTTGTACGCCTTTTGGCATCATCTGGTCCAACACCAGTGGAGACTGGGCTCTAAGAAAAGCTGTCTCGGGTGTGGACCAATCAAATTCAAGGACAGTGCATATTATTATCAGAGTTGTCTTTTTTGTTTGCATTTTGACTGCTTGTGTTGTGTTTATTGCAAACATGATTCCTTGTATAAAGGTATCAGTTTTTGTGCCAGATAAAAGGGTAAAAAGCTATTACGATTGCTGATTGGTTGTGGTTGTTGTCGTGATTGCTGGTGGTTGTGGTTGTAGCGAATGCTGCTTTGTTGTGGTTGCAATTTGTTGCGGCTCTTGCAACAAGCAACGCCCACAGGGGAAGTGGCCATGATCCTCTTAACACCGCCTAGCCAGTGAACTGGAACATGTGGTCGAAACGTCGTGAGAATTTTTATTGTTTTATGTATATTTTATTATTTTATTGTTTCCCTTCAACGTGACTTCACCGAAAGAGCTAAGAATATAGTTTATTTGTAGTTTGCGGTGTGTCTCTCTCTCATCATCGTCACGGTGGCTAGGAGATGTTAACTACCTCGCCTGTCCCCCGAAATGGGGACTATTTTTCAGAGCCCCAAAAAATAGTCGACAATTTTAACCTTAATTTTTCTGAAGCTGGTGACCTTTTTGATAATGTATTGGGAGTCACCCCTGCTCATGCAATTTCCTACACCCCTGTCCAAACATTAAACAACTATTTAGTTTTCAGCCTATCCACGAAAGTAATGTTCTGAAACAACTGTCCTACCTCAAAGGGTCCTCCTCTACCGGAGCGGAAAGTATTCCCGTCTTTGCTCTGCTAACTGTTGGTCACCTAATATACAAACCTATCGCCCATATTTTCAACCTGTCTATCAAAGAAGCATCAGTTCCTCTAGAATGGAAACATTCCTATGTCCGTCCACTTCACAAAGGGGGCCCAAATAACTACCGACCTATCTAAATTTTGTCCCCGTTGATACAAATTTTTGGTAAATTATTGAACTACCAAATTAGCAGTTTCCTGTCCGACAATCTATTGCATCGAAACCAATCTGGGTTACGAAAAAAATACAGCACCACATCTGCTGCAGTAGACTCTCTGAATCACATTTGCAGTAGCCTTGATAATCAGCAGTGCTGCGCCAGTCTTTTTCTTGACTTGTCCAAAGCCTTTGATACAGTCGACCACAACACCCTGCTTAGTAAACTAAGTTGCCTCCGTTTCTCCAAACACGCAGTAGAATGGTTAAAAATTTACCTCTCTTCTCGCACCCAAACTGTATTCATAGATGGTTGGAGGTCAAACAGTGTTAAGATAACAAAAGGGGTTCCACAGGGTTCCATCCTCGGCCCCCACTTGTTCTCTCTTAATGTCAATGACTTGGGCACAGACCTGGATCATTCCAGGGTAAATCTGTTTTCAGATGACACGATACTGATTACTGCTGGCCGCTCTCCGGATGAGGTGATTGCTAAGCTCCAGGGTGATTTCAACAAACTACATCAGCTAGTTGCTCTTAAACTAGACCTGAATACCTCCAAAACCAAGGTGCTATGCTTCTCACCAGGACTAAAGCAGGAAGTTATTTTTCCCCAATTATATTCCTTAAATAATCATCAAATAGAGCAAGTCAAGATCTATAAGTGTCTTGGGGTCATCTTTGATTCAAAACTGAATTTTCAAGGTCACATTGATTATATTGGTAAAAAGACAAAATAAAAAATTGGTTTTCTGTATCGACACAAGCACTGCTTCCCCCCTATCTTCCGCTTGCAATTGATAAAAGCTACCATACTGCCTCTACTTGATTACTGTGATAGCGTGTATAAATCAGCCCTCAGTACTATACTGAACAAGTTTGACTCAATTTATCACTCAGCCTTAAGATTTGCATTGAACTGCCCATATAGGACTCACCACTGCGATCTCTACATTGGGTCAAACTTAACTTATCTTAATGATCGACGGCTTGTGCATCAGATCTTATTTATTCACGATGTACTTACAAAAAAATCAGCAGACTACCTGCTGGATCTCCTCTCTGTTTCGAAGAACAATTGTGACCTCAGGTCTTCGCTCATTTACCAGCTTCACATTCCTTATTGCCGTACAAATACTGGAGGAAGGGCCTTTGCTATTGATGCCCCCAGGGTCTGGAATGCTATCGCCAATAAACTGCAACTTGGATCACTACCTGTGAGATCTTCACTCAAAACTGCTCTTGAGGAGCTGTACACCCCTAGCTGCCACTGCTATTCAGAATGGCCTGAAATCAAATGTATTGTTCTGGATGACCGCTGCAAAGTATAATCTTGAGTTTTGATAATAGTGTGCTGACCTTTAAAGGTGCATTGAAAAAAATTGATACTGCTACTGATACTCCTGCTGTTATGGAGTGACTCATGCAGCCAGCTATGGCTGCAAAGTTTGGTCGTACATGTTATGTAGATCGTTTATTGTTAAATTTGAATCACATTTCCTATGATCACTATTACATTGCTTTTATAGCTTTATTTTGGTGATTTTGAAAACGTTTTCATTTTGCCATATTTGTTTGTTGTAGTACAGAGTTAGCCTGATAACTTTAATCTAAATTGTCTAATGGTTGTTATTGTTTGACTTGCATCCCACTGGGATTTTTGCACACAGCGTTGAAATGCAGTGTTTTTTCTGGAAGACTTTGCTGTTTTTTTCCCCTGGGGTTTTCTGTTGCGCGTAGTCACTTTAAGATGTTTTCTTGTTCATGTTTTTGTTTTGTTGCGGTTACACCCGAGTCAAGGGCCGCATGGCTCACAGGGTTATACCTAATACATGAAACTGAACTGAAACCTCGGAGGTTGTGGGTTCGATACCAACCCTGACGCCTGCCGTATATTTGGAGTTTGCGTGTCTCTCTCTCTATCTTTCTCTTATCATCATTACGGTGGCTAGGAGATGTTAACTACCTCACCTGGTATACAGGAGGTCGTGGATTGGATCCTGAACCTGACGCCTGTACCGTTTATTTGTAGTTTGCGGTCTCTCTCTCTCCCCGTGGTCACGTGGATTTTTCCTCCCGGTCCTCCGGTTTTTTTCCCTCCACATTTAGAATGAACATCACGCGCTTAGAGAATTTGACTACTGCTATACATGTCCACGTGATGATAAGCCACATTGTTGAGCCATCATTTGTGGCCAGGTCGCTTCTGTAAAAAGAGCTGCACAATTCCGCGGGGCTATACCTGCTAAAATCAAATAAAAATCGTAATATAGTATCCATAATATAGGGGTTTGTTTGAAAGATTTTAGAGACATAAACAGAGGCACGTTCACACAATACTGGCTATCGCCTGACGAGGCTGGTGGTTGTTGTTGTTGTAATCGCCAGCGGAACGTCACGGTCCTCCAATGGTAAATGTCGTGGCTTTACTCTCCGACACAACCGGTGTGCTGAAGTCGTAACGAATCGGCACCTTTTGTTTACGCGACAAACTCCTCACTAACTGGCGGTGTTGGGTTTAACGACACATATTTTCTGGTCCAACACCAATGGAGACTAGGCTCTAAGAAAAGCTGTCTCGGGTGTGGACCAATCAAATTCAAGGACAGTACATATCATTATCAGAGTTGTCTTTTTTGTTTGCATTGTGTTGTGGTTATTGCAAACATGATGCCTTGAATAAAGGTGTCAGTTTTTGTGCCAGTTAAAAGGGTAAAACCTATTCCTATATCCCACACATTTATATTTACGTGATCTAACCCTCCCCCCCACCCCCCACCCCCATGTTATGGATATTGGTTGCGAAAGCACCACCAGGTGTTACAATGGTAGCATGGCCAGGGTAGAATCCGCGTGCCATGCCTCGTTGTCCAGTGACCCATAGGCCACCACGGACCATCTGGCCCTGGCAGCCGTGCGTGCTGGCAACCCTCGCCTGGGACACACCGGGGGCCTCACCGTCAGCAGCAGCACGTGCCACCGCCTTGATCCACCGCTGGCCACATCACCAGCAGCTGGTGGTCAGATGCAAGGGGGGCGGGTTGTGGGTGGCTCAGAGGCCACGCCCACCCTGGCAATGATTGACAGGAGCTGCGCCAGTGAGTGACGACGACACGCGTGTTGAGTTGGAACCTCTGGGTCCAAAGGTGAAACAACTCCCCCCCCTCCCCTCTGACCCCCCCCCTCTGACCCCCCCCCCCCGCCCATGACCACTGAGCCCCCGACAGCACCTGCAGGGCACCAGCTCCGTCTGTCCCCCTTCGCCCCAGGTGGGAGCAGCGAGCGAACGCCGCACGCCGGGGGAGCCGGGTGAGGCGAGCACCGAGTGGTGAGGCCAGGGCAGTCCCTCGGGTGGCGAGGAGCCCAGCGGCGGCTCCTGCTCCGGCTCCTGCTCCGGCTCCTGCTCCGGCTCCTGCTCCTGCTCCGGCTCCTGCTCCGGCTCCTGCTCCGGCTCCTGCTTCGGCTCCTGCTCCGGCTCCGACTCCTGCTCCGGCTCCGGCTCCGGCTCCTGCTCCGGCTCCTGCTCCGGCTCCTGCTCCGGCTCCTGCTCCGGCTCCTGCTCCACGTCCTCCTCCACCCGGCGTGGCGGCTCCCACCGGGGCGAGGCGCCGCGAGTCCCCAAGTCGCCGCCGCTGTCTCCATCCTCGGCGCTCAAGGGGTCAGAGTCCACGTGCGGGCGCCTCGCTCTGCCCCACACATCGACAACAACAACAACCACCACGGTAGGGCGCGCCTGTGTCCCCGTTGTCTCCACGTTGTCTCCCTCCGTGTCCCCGTGGTCTCCCTCGGTGTCCCCGTTGTCTCCCTCGGTGTTCCTGTTGTCTCCACGTTGTCTCCCTCCGTGTCCCCGTGGTCTCCCTCGGTGTCCCTGTTGTCTCCCTCGGTGTTCCTGTTGTCTCCACGTTGTCTCCCTCCGTGTCCCCGTGGTCTCCCTCGGTGTCCCTGTTGTCTCCACGTCTCCACGTTGTGTCCTACAGTGTCTCCGTTGTCTCCACGTTGTCTCCCACGGTGTCCCCGTTGTCTCCCTCCGTGTCTCCGTCCGTGTCTCCGTTGTCTCCCTCCCTGTCTCCCTTGGTGTCTCCATTGTCTCCCACGGTGTCTCCGTTGTCTCCCACGGTGTCTCCGTTGTCTCCCACGGGGTCCCCATTGTCTCGCTCCGTGTCCCCGTTGTCTCCCTCCGTGTCTCCCTCCGTGTCTCCGTTGTCTCCCTCCGTGTCTCCGTTGTCTCCCACGGTGTCTCCGTTGTCTCCCACGGGGTCTCCATTGTCTCGCTCCGTGTCCCCGTTGTCTCCCTCCGTGTCTGCGTTTGGCGGTGGTTGAGGTGGTGGTTGAGGTGGTGGTGGTTGAGGTGGTGGTGGTTGAGGTGGTGGTGGTTGAGGTGGTGGTGGTTGAGGTGGTGGTGGTGGTTGAGGTGGTGGTGGTTGAGGTGGTGGTGGTTGAGGTGGTGGTGGTGGTTGAGGTGGTGGTTGAGGTGGTGGTGGTTGAGGTGGTGGTGGTGGTTGAGGTGGTGGTTGAGGTGGTTGAGATGATGGTGGTTGAGGTGGTTGTGGTTCAGGTGGTGGTGGTTGAGGTGGTGGTGGTTGAGGTGGTGGTTGAGATGGTGGTGGTTGAGGTGGTGGTGGTTCAGGTGGTGGTGGTTGAGGTGGTGTGACTAATTAGCTAGTTTGGTTGTGATTAAGGTTGTGGTTAGAGGTGGTTGTGGTTGAGCCAGATGTTGTTGTGATTGCGTTTGGTAATTCACCATGGTAACTGATTTAATCCCATGCTAACCCCAATTACCCCATCGCTACGCCCTTGTTAACCACATGCTTATTCCTTGTTAGCACAGGTTAACCCCATGCTTACCCCCATTGTAACCGAATGATTACCACACGGTTACCCGACGTTTACCCAATTGGTTACCACCCGTTACCTCACGGTAATGCCTTGCCACGTGTCACTTCGCTTCCAAGTTCACTACGAACCGGGAGCCAGGTCGAGGCGACTTCCAAGACCTGTTTACAGAGTTCACCCCCGCGCGTGTAAAGAGTCTCCGAGTGCCCGGGGAGTGGTGGCGCAGTGGTTAGCAGCACTGCGCTTCGAGCCCAGCGACCCGAGTTCCATTCCCGCTTACGGCCAACATCAGCGACTAATATCTGAAACTGGTTCTGGGCCTCCTCCTCTCGGGAAACCCGGCGCGGTGCGTAAACATCCCCACCGGGGAGACAAAGGCGGCCGCGCGTGGTGCTGGCCACCCACCCCCTCGTGTGCCGTGCCGGCCTTCATAGGTTCTGCTAATCGCTAACAGCACTTGCTCAAACAGTGCTAAGGCTATACGGAGGATCTTTGTTTTGTGTGTGTGTCTGAGTGTGTGCCTTGAGTGTGTGATGGGGGGGCTGTTGCCGGCCTGTAACCGCTGTAGTTGCGGCTGCCCGTGGGTAACCCTGTGGTGGTGGTTGTGGTGGTTGCTGGTGGTAGGTGCCGCTGTGGTGGTGGTGGTGGTTGCCGGCGGTAGGTGCCGCTGTGGTTGTGGTGGTGGTTGCTGGTGGTAGGTGCCGCTGTGGTGGTGGTGGTTGCCGGCGGTAGGTGCCGCTGTGGTGGTGGTTGCTGGTGGTAGGTGCCGCTGTGGTGGTGGTGGTGGTTGCTGGTGGTAGGTGCCGCTGTGGTGGTGGTTGCTGGTGGTAGGTGCCGCTGTGGTGGTGGTGGTTGCCGGCGGTAGGTGCCGCTGTGGTGGTGGTTGCTGGTGGTAGGTGCCGCTGTGGTGATGGTGGTGGTAGTAGGTGCCGCTGTGGTGGTGGTGGTAGGTGCCGCTGTGGTGGTGGTTGCTGGTGGTTGCTGGTGGTAGGTGCCGCTGTGGTGGTGGTAGGTGCCGCTGTGGTTGTGGCTGCCCTGTGGTTGTGGCTGCTCTGTGGTGGTGGTTGCTGGTGGTAGGTGCCACTGTGGTTGTGGCTGCCCTGTGGTGGTGGTTGCTGGTGGTAGGTGCCGCTGTGGTTGTGGCTGGCCTGTGGTGGTGGTGATTGCTGGTGGTAGGTGCCGCTGTGGTTGTGGCTGGCCTGTGGTGGTGGTTGCTGGTGGTAGGTGCCGCTGTGGTTGTGGCTGACCTGTGGTGGTGGTGGTTGCTGGTGGTAGGTGCCGCTGTGGTTGTGGCTGGCCTGTGGTGGTGGTTGCTGGTGGTAGGTGCCGCTGTGGTTGTGGCTGGCCTGTGGTGGTGGTTGCTGGTGGTAGGTGCCGCTGTGGTTGTGGCTGGCCTGTGGTGGTGGTGGTTGCTGGTGGTAGGTGCCGCTGTGGTTGTGGCTGCCCTGTGGTGGTGGTGGTGGTTGCTGGTGGTAGGTGCTGCTGTGGCCGTCACCAACAGCCTCCACGTTGGCCAACGGGGCCTCTGAACGGGCGCTAGGGGCTGGTGACCCCTCCAAACTTTCAATAAAAATGACCACAAACCACGGAGACAATCACACGTTGAGCTTGTGACTAGGGGCTTGTACGACGTCTCCTGGCTAGGGCACTGAAGCCCCCCCCCTCGCCCCCCCCCCTCGCCCCCCTTTAGGATTCTTCCCCCTGCCCCCCGCCCCCCGCCCCTCCGCTGTTGACATTTACCCACAAATAACCCCCATGCACCCACCCCCCCCATACCCTAGAACTAACGCACAAAGAGACCCCCCCCCCCTACAGCCAGACCCCACGAATGAGATTGCCCGGATTGAGGGGGTACATGGTCCCCTGTTTATCCAGAGCCCCGCGGGATACACACGAGGCTGGGTAGAAGAGACGGGGGACCCCTGGTTTATGGGGAACCCCTGTGTGGGAGTAAAAGGGTCAGGGACCCCCTTTAGTCAGACCTCCCCCCCCCCCCCACCGTGTTGGAGAGATAGGGGAAGAGGGGATAGGCTCCCTGGTTTATGGGATTCCTGTGTCAGACAGGATTTGTGATTTATGGGGGGGTCCCCTGTGTGAGACACGGGGTCCCTGGTGTTTTGGGGGGGCTGTGTGAGCCACACGGGGTCCCTGGTGTTTGGGGGATCCCCTGTGTGAGACACACGGGGTCCCTGGTGTTTGGGGGGCCCCCTGTGTGAGACATACGGAGTCCTGGTGTTTGGGGGGCCCCTGTGTGAGACACACGGAGTCCTGGTGTTTGGGGGGCCCCTGTGTGAGACACACGGAGTCCTGGTGTTTGGGGGGCCCCCTGTGTGATACACGGGGTACCTGGTGTTTTGGTGGGGGCCTGTGTGAGACACACGAGGTCCCTGGTGTTTGGGGGTCTCCTGTGTGAGACACACGGGGTCCCTGATGTTTGGGGGGGCTGTGTGAGCCATACGGGGTCCCTGATGTTTGGGGGGCCCCTGTGTGAGCCACACGGGGTCCCTGGTGTTTGGGGGGGGGCTGTGTGAGCCACACGGGGTCCCTGATGTTTGGGGGGTCCCCTGTGTGATACACGGGGTCCCTGGCGTTTTGGGGGGGGGGCTGTGTGAGCCACACGGGGTCCCTGGTGTTTGGGGGGGGTCCCCTGTGTGAGCCACACGGGGTCCCTGATGTTTTGGGGGGGGGCTGTGTGAGCCACACGGGGTCCTTGGTGTTTGGGGGGCCCCTGTGTGAGCCACACGGGGTCCCTGATGTTTTGGGGGGGGGCTGTGTGAGCCACACGGGGTCCTTGGTGTTTGGGGGGCCCCTGTGTGAGCCACACGGGGTCCCTGATGTTTTGGGGGGGGGGGGGGGCTGTGTGAGCCACACGGGGTCCTGGTGTTTCAGGGCTCCCCGTGTGGTGTAGGGGGGCGGGGAGTGGTGGGGGGGGTATGGGCCCACGTCAGTTTCTATTTGCTGAAGGGACTCAATCTCGGGCGCCGGGAGCACGAGGTGAGAGGTCGCCAGTTGAGATCTCACTGAGCACACGCACGCACGCACTAACACGCACACACACGCACGCACTAACACGCACACACACAGGTACACACGGGGGGAGTTTACACAACAGGGGACATCGTAAACCTCCCCCCCCCCCCCCCCCCCAGACATAGGCAGAGGTCGTCATTGTTGTTGTTGTTACGACTCCGAACCAGACCGACAATCACGCGAGCAGTGGAGGAACCGAGAGGCAGTGAGCAGCACCACAGCAAAGACAACAACCGCACACGGCACAGACCCAGAGGGCACTAAACATGAAGGCCCCCCACCCCCCCTCGTATGGGCTCGACAGAAAGTTGGGACGAGTGCTGTTAGCGAGTTGCACCTTTTGAAAGGTCGGCACGGCACACGGGGGGGGGGGGGGGGGTGGCCAGCACCGCGCTCGACCGCCTTTGTCTCCCCAGTGGCGATGTCTTTTACACACTGCACCAGTAAACCCCGCACACAAACACACACACACACAAACAACAACAACACACACACAAACACAACAGACGTACAGCACAACACACGCGCCACACGTCACAGCATCATCATCCACCCACACGCAGCCCCGGGGCCCGAAACAACCAAGGGGCATGGACCACAAAAGGCCTCCCGCCTTGCCCCCTACTGCCCCTCGCCTTGCCCCCTACTGCCCCTCGCCTTGCCCCCTACTGCCTCCCGCCTTGCCCCCTACTGCCCCTCGCCTTGCCCCCTACTGCCTCCCGCCTTGCCCCGTACTGCCCCTCGCCTTGCCCCCTACTGCCTCCCGCCTTGCCCTCTACTGCCTCCCGCCTTGCCCCCTACTGCCTCCCGCCTTGCCCCCTACTGCCCCACGCCTTGCCCCCTACCGCCCCTCGCCTTGCCCCGTACTGCCCCTCGCCTTGCCCCCTACTGCCCCTCGCCATGCCCCGTACTGCCCCTCGTCTTGCCCCGTATTGCCTCCCGCCTTGCCCCCTACCGCCCCTCGCCTTGCCCCGTACTGCCTCCCGCCTTGCCCCTACTGCCCCTCGCCTTGCCCCCTACTGCCCCTCGCCTTGCCCCCTACTGCCCCTCGCCTTGCCCCCTACTGCCTCCCGCCTTGCCCCGTACTGCCCCTCGCCTTGCCCCCTACTGCCTCTCACCTTGCCCCCTACTGCCCCTCACCTTGCCCCCTACTGCCCCTTGCCTTGCCCCCTACTGCCCCTCGCCTTGCCCCGTGTCCTAAATAAATAACAAATAGGGAGAGCCACAGACGAGTTTTTGGTTGTTCAAGGCAACCAAGACACCAGCCACAAACAATTTCCCAAGCTCTGCGGTCCTATATTGTGATGCTTGGACAACTCGACGAATTAATAAACGATTTTGTGCATGGCCTTGCCCTGCCCCCCTTACACACACACCCTGTAGGGTCGCAGGGACCCGACTCTGTGCTGTTGACTCAGCGCGAGCGAGCGCTGTGGGTTTTATTGGGGGTGTAAACGCGGACCCGTGTCCCCTCCCGAGTCCCCGTGTCCCCTCCCGAGTCCCCTTTATCTCGGGGTCCCCGCTGAGATTGGGACCCCTCCTTCCCCATCGTAAGAGACCCAACCCCCCCCACCCCTCCCCCCCCACATCGCTCCCAGGGTGAGGGAGTGAGTTGTGTTAGGGACACGGCCACAAATGACAGCCCAAACTGAGTGGCTTATCACGTGTAAATCTGCAGAAGCCAAACGCTCTAAAACGCGTGATGCTCATTCGAAATGCGGTGGGGGAAAACCGGAGGACCCAGATAAAAAAAAATCCACACGGCCACGGCAAGAGACACGCAGACTCCAAATGTACCGCAGGCGGCAGCGTCGGGTTCGAACCCACGACCTCTTGTGTACCAGGCGAGGGAGTGAACATCTCCTCGCCACCGCGGCATTAGAGTTGGGTTCAGGGTTAGGGTTGGGTTGAGGAACACATTCACACGAGACAACTAAAGAGGAGATGCAGCAGCGGAGTGGGGGGGGGGGGGGGTGGAAGGGAAGGAGACTTTAATCCAGCAGCGGACTGAGAATGGGCGAGAGCGGTGGCGGCGAGCTACACGACGGTGCTGCTGATGATGATGACGATGGGATGGTGACTGATGACGGTATTGATTGAGATCACGGCGCCGATGGCGGAGTTGATTGCGATGGCCCCGATGTGGATAACGACGTCGCGGCTCGCGATGCTCGTGGACACGAAACTGCGTCGCCGATGGTGCCGATGATGCGGATGGAGGCGACGCCGCTGACGCCGGTGTCGTGGCTCCGCGCGCGCTCTGTAGATGTCCGAGTCGGAGTTCGAGGTGGGGGACGAGCTTCTGGACCTTCTGCTGGAGCGTCCGTGCCCAGCGGTGGGGCCCATGGGCGGCCCGCTGGGAGGCCCGAGAGCTGCCCAGATGGGGGCCCCGTGCGCCCCTCGGTCGTCGGCCTTCTTTCCCGGGCCGCTGGGCGGCCTGCTGACGCAGCAGGGCAAGGCGAGCGAGTCCGAGCCGTGGGGCCTGGAGGATGTCCTGGTAGGGTCCCTCCACGCGGCTCCGCCACGCGGGGGTGAAGGCGGCTAAAGTCCTGGCTTAGCCGGGGCGGTCCTGGCGGGTTCATAATGGCCATCCCTGTGTCCATCTCCCCCGCCCACCAACCCCCTCCCCACCAACCCCCTCCCCACCAACCCCCTCCCCACTAACCCGCCCCCCCCACCAACCCCCCCCCCCCCACCTACCCCCCACCAATCCACCCCACCAAACCCCCGACTTTGCCGGAAGCTTTTTTTATGAATCGAGACTTTGCCGGCAGTTTGAGAAGTTTTTGTCTTCGCGCTCGACTCATGATGCAGGCAGAGAGGTCGGCGCTACCTGAGCAGTGGGCGGGGTTTCACAGGAAGGAGTGGGCGGGACTTGTGAGCAGTGGGTGGGACTTGTGAGCAGTGGGTGGGGTTTCACAGGAAGGAGTGGGTGGGACTTGTGAGCAGTGGGTGGGACTTGTGAGCAGTGGGCGGGGTTTCACAGGAAGGAGTGGGTGGGACTTGTGAGCAGTGGGTGAGACTTGTGAGCAGTGCGTGGGACTTGTGAGCAGTGCGTGGGACTTGTGAGCAGTGCGTGGGACTTGTGAGCAGTGGGTAGGACTTGTGAGCAGTGGGCGGGACTTGTAAGCAGTGCGTGGGACTTGTGAGCAGTGCGTGGGACTTGTGAGCAGTGGGTGGGACTTGTGAGCAGTGGGTGGGACTTGTGAGCAGTGGGTGGGACTTGTGAGCAGTGGGCGGGACTTGTGAGCAGTGCGTGGGACTTGTGAGCAGTGGGCGGGACTTGTGAGCAGTGCGTGGGACTTGTGAGCAGTGGACGGGACTTGTGAGCAGTGGGCGGGACTTGTGAGCAGTGGGTGGGACTTGTGAGCAGTGGGTGGGACTTGTGAGCAGTGGGCGGGACTTGTGAGCAGTGGGCGGGACTTGTGAGCAGTGGGGCCAACGTCAAGATAAAGGTGGAGGAGGCCACGATTGTGTGTGCGAGGGAGTGGGCCGGGTTCGTGAATTGACTGGGCGGGGCCATGTCAATGATGTGGGCAGGGCCGACACAGTTGGAGGGAGGGGCTGCAAGCTCACCATCTGTTCTGGTTGAGCCTCCTGGATATTTGGTGAACTTTACCCATTGGGGTGTGGCCACGTGTGGGACACGCGTGGGACACAGGCCATCGTGGGACGTAGACCACGAGTGTTGCCTCCACCGCTCCCCTGCGATGCTGCGCGACCGGAGGTTCTTCAGCCGTAGGCCTCTGCGGGACAGCTGTGGTCTGCGCGGAGGGCCCTTGGGAGAGGCCCGCCGTGCCGTGACCCGCCGAGAGACGTGACGGCTGTCCGAGACGCGGGTAGATACAGATCGGAGATATAGCGAGAGTTCCTGGAGACGAGGACGTACAGACGAGTGGTCGGTACGCGGAGCTCCGGGGGCCCCGCCGTGCCGCGCGCGCTTGCGCCCACCGCCGTGGCTTACCCGCCGCTCCCGCACCGTGTCGCCCGCCGCCGCTGCCGCGCGCAGGCCCTGACGGAGGACGCGCAGGACGACCTCCTGCAGAGCTTCGTGATGGACGACGCCGCGCTGCAGATGCTGCGCGCGCCCGGCACCCCGTTCCGCTCGCCCTCCTCGCTCTGCTCTTCCACCCCGTTCCCCTCGCCCGCCTCGCTCTCCTCGCCGCCGTCGCCCGTTCCGCTCGCGTCGCCCTCGGCCAGCGACAGCGGCGTCTCGGAGGGGGGCGGCCCCACGAGCCCGTACGCGGGCGTGCGGGGAGCCGCCTCCCACGCGGGGCCGCACGCGGCGAGGCCCTGGGCCTCCTTCCCCCCGGAGGCCCCCAGCCCCGGCGGCTCCAGCTCCGGAGGAGGCTCCGGCGGCGGCTCCGGCGGCGGCGGGAGCCGCTCGCTCTCGAGCTCGGACGACGTGGCCATCGATTTCGGTGAGAGCGACGACGCTCGGGAATCCTTACCGGAGTCTCGGGGGGCAGTGGCGGCGCGGCGATGCCTCTCGAGGCTGGGTTCGATTCCCGTGTTCTCTCTCCCCCTGTGGTTCTGCCTGGCTAGTCCTCCCGGGGTTCTCCACTTGCAAATCGCTCAATTGGGATCGCACGGCGGCAGCAGCAGCATCACCACCCAACGTCACCGCCACGCGCCCCTCACCCTCACCCACCCCTCACCCTCACCCGCCCCTCACCCACCCCTCACCCACCCCTTACCCTCACCTACCCCTCACCCTCACCCACCCCTCACCTACCCCTCGCCCTCACCTACCCCTCACCCACCCCTCACCCACCCCAGACGGCTGGGACGAGCCGGGCATGGTGGCGGCCCCCAGCGTGGTGCGTGCCCTCCCGGCCCTCACCCTAACCCTCACCTACCCCTCACCCTCACCTACCCCTCACCCTCACCCACCCCAGACGGCTGGGACGAGCCGGGCATGGTGGCGGCCCCCAGCGTGGTGCGTGCCCTCCCGGCCCTCACCGCCGCCCTGCGCTCCTCGCGCCAGCTGCTGCACCGACTCACGGGCGCCGGCCACAGCGAGCACGACGTGGTACACCAGCGGGGCGGGGGAGGGGGTGGTGCAGGGGGTAGAGAGAGAGAGAGGGGGTAGGGAGAGAGGGGGTAGAGAGAGAGGGTAGAGAGAGAGGGGGGGTAGAGAGAGAGAGGGGGTAGAGAGAGAGGGGGTAGAGAGAGAGGGGGTAGAGAGAGAGGGGGTAGAGAGAGAGGGGGGTAGAGAGAGGGGGTAGAGAGAGAGGGGGGGTAGAGAGAGAGGGGGTAGAGAGAGAGGGGGGTACAGAGAGAGGGGGTAGAGAGAGAGGGGGTAGAGAGAGAGGGGGGGGTAGAGAGAGAGGGGGGTAGAGAGAGAGAGGGGGGGTAGAGAGAGAGGGGGTAGAGAGAGGGGGGGGGGTAGAGAGAGAGGGGGTAGAGAGAGAGAGGGGGTAGAGAGAGAGAGAGGGGGTAGAGAGAGAGAGAGGGGGGTAGAGAGAGAGAGGGGGTAGAGAGAGAGTGGGTTAGAGAGAGAGGGGGGGTAGAGAGAGGGGGTAGAGAGAGAGGGGGGTAGAGAGAGAGAGAGAGGGGGTAGAGAGAGAGAGGGGGTAGAGAGAGGGGGTAGAGAGAGAGGGGGTAGAGAGAGAGAGGGGGTAGAGAGAGAGAGGGGGGTAGAGAGAGAGGGTAGAGAGAGAGAGAGGGGGTAGAGAGAGAGGGGGTAGAGAGAGAGGGGGTTAGAGAGAGAGGGGGTAGAGAGAGAGGGGGGTAGAGAGAGAGAGGGGGGTAGAGAGAGAGAGGGGGTAGAGAGAGAGGGGGTAGAGAGAGAGAGAGGGGGGGTAGAGAGAGAGAGGGGGTAGAGAGAGAGGGGGTAGAGAGAGAGGGGGGTAGAGAGAGGGGGTAGAGAGAGAGGGGGGGTAGAGAGAGAGGGGGTAGAGAGAGAGGGGGGTACAGAGAGAGGGGGTTAGAGAGAGAGGGGGTAGAGAGAGAGGGGGGGGGGTAGAGAGAGAGGGGTAGAGAGAGAGAGGGGGGGTAGAGAGAGAGGGGGTAGAGAGAGAGGGGGGGGGGGGGGTAGAGAGAGAGGGGGTAGAGAGAGAGAGGGGGGGTAGAGAGAGAGGGGGTAGAGAGAGGGGGGGGGGGGTAGAGAGAGAGGGGGTAGAGAGAGAGAGGGGGGTAGAGAGAGAGAGAGGGGGTAGAGAGAGAGAGAGGGGGGTAGAGAGAGAGAGGGGGTAGAGAGAGAGGGGGTAGAGAGAGAGGGGGGTAGAGAGAGGGGGTAGAGAGAGAGGGGGGGTAGAGAGAGGGGGTAGAGAGAGAGAGGGGGTAGAGAGAGGGGATAGAGAGAGAGGGGGTAGAGAGAGAGAGGGGGTAGAGAGAGAGAGGGGGGTAGAGAGAGAGGGGTAGAGAGAGAGAGAGGGGGGTAGAGAGAGAGGGGGTAGAGAGAGAGGGGGTAGAGAGAGAGGGGGTAGAGAGAGAGGGGGGTAGAGAGAGAGAGGGGGGTAGAGAGAGAGAGGGGGTAGAGAGAGAGGGGGTAGAGAGAGAGAGAGGGGGGTAGAGAGAGAGAGGGGGTAGAGAGAGAGGGGGTAGAGAGAGAGGGGGGTAGAGAGAGGGGGTTAGAGAGAGAGGGGGGGTAGAGAGAGAGGGGGTAGAGAGAGAGAGAGGGGGGTACAGAGAGAGGGGGTAGAGAGAGAGGGGGTAGAGAGAGAGGGGGGGGGGGTAGAGAGAGAGGGGGTAGAGAGAGAGAGGGGGGGTAGAGAGAGAGGGGGTAGAGAGAGGGGGGGGGGTAGAGAGAGAGGGGGTAGAGAGAGAGAGGGGGTAGAGAGAGAGAGAGGGGGTAGAGAGAGAGAGAGGGGGGTAGAGAGAGAGAGGGGGTAGAGAGAGAGGGGGTAGAGAGAGAGGGGGGTAGAGAGAGGGGGTAGAGAGAGAGGGGGGGTAGAGAGAGAGAGGGGGTAGAGAGAGAGAGGGGGTAGAGAGAGGGGATAGAGAGAGAGGGGGTAGAGAGAGAGAGGGGGGTAGAGAGAGAGAGAGGGGGGTAGAGAGAGAGGGTTAGAGAGAGAGAGAGGGGGGGGTAGAGAGAGAGGGGGTAGAGAGAGAGGGGGTAGAGAGAGAGGGGGGTAGAGAGAGGGGGTAGAGAGAGAGGGGGGGTAGAGAGAGAGAGGGGGTAGAGAGAGAGGGGGGGTAGAGAGAGAGAGGGGGTAGAGAGAGAGGGGGGTAGAGAGAGAGGGGGTAGAGAGAGGGGGGGGGTAGAGAGAGAGAGAGGGGGTAGAGAGAGAGGGGGTAGAGAGAGAGAGGGGGTAGAGAGAGAGGGGGGGTAGAGAGAGAGGGGGTAGAGAGAGAGAGGGGGGTAGAGAGAGAGAGAGGGGGTAGAGAGAGAGGGGGTAGAGAGAGAGAGGGGGTAGAGAGAGAGGTGGGGTGGTAGAGAGAGAGAGGGGGTAGAGAGAGAGAGGGGGTAGAGAGAGAGAGAGGGGGTAGAGAGAGAGGGGGGGTAGAGAGAGAGAGGGGGTAGAGAGAGAGGGGGTAGAGAGAGAGAGGGGGGTAGAGAGAGAGAGGGGGTAGAGAGAGAGAGGGGGTAGAGAGGGAGAGAGGGGGTAGAGAGAGAGGGGTAGAGAGAGAGAGGGGGTAGAGAGAGAGAGGGGGTAGAGAGAGAGGGGGTAGAGAGAGAGAGGGGGGTAGAGAGAGAGAGGGGGGTAGAGAGAGAGGGTAGAGAGAGAGAGAGGGGGGTAGAGAGAGAGGGGGTAGAGAGAGAGGGGGTAGAGAGAGAGGGGGGTAGAGAGAGGGGGTAGAGAGAGAGGGGGGGTAGAGAGAGAGAGGGGGTAGAGAGAGAGGGGGGGTAGAGAGAGAGAGGGTGGTAGAGAGAGAGGGGGGGTAGAGAGAGAGGGGGTAGAGAGAGGGGGGGGGGTAGAGAGAGAGAGAGGGGGTAGAGAGAGAGGGGGTAGAGAGAGAGAGGGGGTTAGAGAGAGAGGGGGGGTAGAGAGAGAGGGGGTAGAGAGAGAGAGGGGGGTAGAGAGAGAGAGAGGGGGTAGAGAGAGAGGGGGTAGAGAGAGAGAGGGGGTAGAGAGAGAGGTGGGGTGGTAGAGAGAGAGAGGGGGTAGAGAGAGAGAGGGGGTAGAGAGAGAGAGAGGGGGTAGAGAGAGAGGGGGGTAGAGAGAGAGAGGGGGTAGAGAGAGAGGGGGTAGAGAGAGAGAGGGGGGGTTAGAGAGAGAGAGGGGGGTAGAGAGAGAGAGAGGGGGTAGAGAGGGAGAGGGGGCTAGAGAGAGAGGGGGGGTAGAGAGAGAGGGGGTAGAGAGAGAGGGGGGGGTAGAGAGAGAGGGGGTAGAGAGAGAGGGGGGGTAGAGAGAGAGGGGGTAGAGAGAGAGGGGGGGTAGAGAGAGAGGGGGTAGAGAGAGAGAGGGGGTAGAGAGAGAGAGGGGGTAGAGAGAGAGGGGGTAGAGAGAGAGAGGGGGTTGAGAGAGAGAGGGGGGGTTAGAGAGAGAGGGGGGTAGAGAGAGAGGGGGGTAGAGAGAGAGGGGGTAGAGAGAGAGGGGGGGTAGAGAGAGATAGGGGGTAGAGAGAGAGGGGGGGGTAGAGAGAGAGGGGGGGGGTAGAGAGAGAGGGGGGGTAGAGAGAGAGGGGGTAGAGAGAGAGGGGGTAGAGAGAGAGAGGGGGGGTAGAGAGAGAGAGGGGGGGTAGAGAGAGAGAGGGGGTAGAGAGAGAGGGGGTAGAGAGAGAGAGGAGGTTAGAGAGAGAGGGGGTAGAGAGAGAGGGGGGGGGGTAGAGAGAGAGAGGGGGGGTAGAGAGAGAGAGAGGGGGGGGTAGAGAGGGGGTAGAGAGAGAGAGGGGGTAGAGAGAGAGAGAGGGGGTAGAGAGAGGGGGTAGAGAGAGAGGGGGGGTAGAGAGAGAGAGGGGGGTAGAGAGAGAGGGGGTAGAGAGAGAGGGGGTAGAGAGAGAAGGGGGCTAGAGAGAGAGAGGGGGGTAGAGAGAGAGAGGGGGTAGAGAGAGAGAGGGGGTAGAGAGAGAGGGGGGGGGGTAGAGAGAGAGAGGGGGGGTAGAGAGAGAGAGAGGGGGGGGTAGAGAGGGGGTAGAGAGAGAGAGGGGGTTAGAGAGAGAGAGAGGGGGTAGAGAGAGGGGGTAGAGAGAGAGGGGGGGTAGAGAGAGAGAGGGGGTAGAGAGAGAGGGGGTAGAGAGAGAGGGGGTAGAGAGAGAAGGGGGCTAGAGAGAGAGAGGGGGGGTAGAGAGAGAGGGGGGTAGAGAGAGAGAGGGGGTAGAGAGAGAGGGAAGGGGTAAGGAGAGCAGAGCGTGAAATCTGTTGTGAAATCTTTCATTTAAAAAGGGGGGGGGGGGGGGTTACATAAGGCAAAGCATTAAAATAATGACGACCGAAGCAAAGTGCCGACTACACCGAGCATCTTCTTGTTTCCTCTGATCGTAAAAAAATAAAAATAGTAATGTCGCGGTTGGCGGCGGCCTGACTTTGATGATTCCCGCTCACGGCCACCAAAACCGGTGAGGATTATCTGAACCGGTCTTGGGCCTCCCCTAGGTCAACTCGGCCTCAAATGAGCACCTGGCGCGGTGTGTAGTAAATATCGGCATTAGGGAGACCCACTCATAGGTGCGACGTGCCGGACTTCGTCGGTGCTACTGGCTAACGGCGCCCGCCCCCAACGGCCTGTTAGGGCTACACGGGGGACCTTTGTCTCTGTTACGCGTGTGTTCGTGTGTGTGTGTTCGTGTGTGTGTGTTCGTGTGTGTGTGTTCGTGTTCGTGCATGCTGCACGTTGCGTGTGTTCGTGTGTGTGTGTTCGTGCATGTGTGTTCGTGCGTGTGTGTTCGTGCGTGTGTTCGTGTGTGTGTGTGTTCGTGTGTGTGTGTTCGTGTGTGTGTGTTCGTGTGTGTGTGTTCGTGTTCGTGCATGCTGCACGTTGCGTGTGTTCGTGTGTGTGTGTTCGTGCGTGTGTGTTCGTGCGTGTGTGTTCGTGCGTGTGTTCGTGTGTGTGTGTGTTCGTGTGTGTGTGTTCGTGTGTGTGTGTTCGTGCGTGTGTGTTCGTGCGTGTGTGTGTTCGTGCGTGCAGCAGACCATGGAGGTGGCGCTCACGGACGAGGAGCGCAAGCTGCTGATGCAGGAGGGGATGCCGATGCCCGCGCACCTGCCTCTCACCAAGGTGAGCACGACCCCCGCGACCCCCACGACCCCCTCGGCCCCCTTGACCCTTGCGCCCCCTCCCACCGCGAGCTTCGCCCCCGGTTCCCATCATCCACCAGGACACTGTGAGCTGACACACTCGCGCAGCGTGTACGTGCGCACTCGCAGTACAAAGACACAGATTCCCCCCCCCGTGTCGCCTGTAGCAGGCTGTTGGGGGCAAGTGCTCTTACCGAGCGCCTCTGAAGGCCGGCACGGTACACGACCGGGTGTGGTGGCCAGCACCACGCCAGGGTGGATGTTTTAGACACCGCAGCAGGTACTCGTGTTAAGGCCGAGTCGACCTAGGGGAGGTCCCAAGACCGGTTCAGGCGTTCGTTGTGGTTGTGAGCGGACATGGGACTCGGGCCTTGGCCGGGTTCGTAGCGCGGCACGCTGATCGCTGCTCCGGCAGTTCCGCGTGAGACAGGGCACAAGAGACGTAACGCACTTGTACGCAGTGCCGGGATTAAGCTAGTGCGGGGCCTGCAGCATGTGATGTTACAGTGAGGGAAAAAAGTATTTGATCCCCTGCTGATTTTGTACGTTTGCCCACTGACAAAGAAATGATCAGTCTATAATTTTAATGGTAGGTTTATTTGAACAGTGAGAGACAGAATAGCAACAACAAAATCCAGAAAAACGCATGTCAAAAATGTTATAAATTGATTTGCATTTTAATGAGGGAAATAAGTATTTGACCCCCTCTCAATCACAAAGATTCCTGGCTCCCAGGTGTCTTTTATACAGGTAATGAGCTGAGATTAGGAGCACACTCTTAAAGGGAGTGCTTCCAATCTCAGCTTGTTACCTGTATAAAAGACACCTGTCCACAGAAGCAATCAATCAGATTCCAAACTCTCCACCATGGCCAAGACCAAAGAGCTCTCCAAGGATGTCAGGGACAAGATTGTAGACCTACACAAGGCTGGAATGGGCTAGAAGACCATTGTCAAGCAGCTTGGTGAGAAGGTGACAACAGTTGGTGCGATTATTCGCAAACGGAAGAAACACAAAAGAACTGTCAATCTCCCTTGGCCTGGGGCTCCATGCAAGATCTCACCTCGTGGAGTTGCAATGATCATGAGAACGGTGAGGAATCAGCCCAGAACTACACGAAATCTTTGTGATTGAGAGGAGGTCAAATACTCATTTCCCTCATTAAAATGCAAATAAATTTATAACATTTTTGACATGCGTTTTTCTGGATTTTGTTGTTGTTATTCTGTCTCTCACTGTTGAAATAACCCTACCATTAAAATTATAGACTGATCATTTCTTTGTCAGTGGGCAAACGTACAAAATCAGCAGGGGATCAAATACTTTTTTCCCTCACTGTATAAAGAGGCCTTAAATAAAAAAAATAACACGTAAATTTTTTAACACAAATTTGTAACTTGCACAGTAAAGTAATTGCATTTTTTCACTTGCTAAACAGCCAGAGAATACGACAAATCGCTCACCTTAAACACCCGGTCGTTCGTAAAAGTTGAAGGCGGTATATTACTATAGTGATAGAGCAAGTGCAGAATCACTGAACCGCGAATTGAAAGCTTGAAAGCGTTTAGCGCGGGGCCCTTGAAAGCGCGGGGCCCGTAGCTACTACACGTGTAGCTACTTTCGCGACCACTGCTTGTACGTTGAACTTCATTCGCACCGCGCTAATCGGAGGTGCGGGGGGAAGGACAACAAACTAAACACAACAAAAAGCAGTTCCAAAGAAATGAGTTTGTCAATCTAGACGATGATTTAAAAGTGTACAGCTCCAGCGCCTTCCTGACTTCGGGAAGGGAAGAGCGTTCCAGACGGCCGCAGAAGCGCACCTGAAAGCGCCGCACGAGGCGGCGACCGCCGCCTTTGTTCGATGGCCCAGCAGCCGGAAGCCGCCGCTGCCCGTGAGGCCGAGCAGAGTGGCACGCGCGATGGGTTTATTCTCCGTGGCGGGATCGGCGGCGAGGCATTGTCGTTCGCTTGTGGCGAGCACTCTGCGCGTAACGAGTGCGGGCCTTGGTTCTGACCGCCGGGCACACCACATCAAGTATCCCTCTCGCTATGCCTGCGGCTGCCGCGCCCCCCCTCCCCCCTCTCACCCACGGCGTACCGCAGGTGGAGGAGCGGGTGCTGAAGCGCGTGCGGCGCAAGATCCGGAACAAGCAGTCGGCACAGGAGAGCAGGCGGCGCAAGAAGGAGTACGTGGACGGCCTCGAGAGCAGGTGACGGGGGTGGGGGGCAGCGGGGGGCAGCAGGGTGGGGGGCAGCGGGGAGTGGGGCATGGGGGGGGGCATGGGCAGCGTGCCCATGCCCCCCCCCCCCCCCAGAGAGTGAGAGGGCCATGCCCCCAGGGAGACAGGCCGTGGCTTTGTGACGGAGCCCCCAGGCTGGACGGTGAGGGGGCCGTGCCCTTGGGAAAGAGACCACAGAGTTCGGGTCATGAGCACGAGAGGGGCGTGTCCGTGACGGGGGGGGGGGGGGGGCGGACGCGCGCGCACGTGTGTGTGTACGTGTGTGTGTACGTGTGTGTGTACGTGTGTGTTAGTGTGTGTGTACGTTATGTATGCTGATGATTTGGTAATAGCTGCTCATTCAGAGGAGGAGTTGGAGACGCTGCTGCTGAGACTGGAGCGTGCCACTAAGAGGTGGGGCCTTACCATCAGCCCCACCAAAACTAAGCACCTGCCTGGGTATTTTGTACCATCGGACACTCCATCCCTACAACTCCCAATCGGTGATGGGGCAGTTGTGGAGAGAGTGGAGAGTTTCCCATACCTGGGCAGTGTGCTTATGACTGGCTCCAGTTTAACTGCAGAGGTCTCACTCCGAATCAGTCGAGCGGCAATATCTTTTCATCGGTTGCGTAACGCTGTGTGGAAGCTACCTGGTCTGTCGCTCCGCACGAAGCTTCAGGTCTTCTCGGCCACGGTCATTCCCTCCCTTCTCTACGCTTGCGAAACGTGGACCCCCCTAATGGAACATCGTCGCCGGTTAGAAACATTTAGGCTGGCCTGCCTACGATCTATCCTGGGTTTAACCAGACTGGATTGTGTGAGGAGCTCACAAATCCTTGAAAGATCTGGGCAACGTCCCATCGGTGAGCTCCTCCGGCGGGGAAGGCTGCGATGGCTGGGTCATGTAGCCCGCATGCCCAGCCACCGCATGCCGAAACAGCTTTTGTTCGGCTGGATTGAGGGGGCTAAGCAGGCGTGGCACGGGCTAGAGAAGAGATGGAGTGATGTGGTACAGGAGGACGTGGAGCTGAGTGGACTTGCCGATGACTGGTACCAGCGGTGTCAAGAACAGCCTCTGTGGAGGAGGCTCATGAAGGACGCTACTGGGCAGTTGGAGGTAGTCGCCCTCCAACAACAACGGAGGGCGGAGGAGCGACGCTCAGAACAACGAGCGGAGCGCCGGGTGGCTAAAGCACAGCAGGTTGGCACAGTAGGGGGCACAGGTGGTGCATCAGCCAGTCATCTCAGTCAGTCGACCCGTGGCACCTGGGTCTGCCCCGTGACCTGCCAGCGGGCGTTTGACACTTCACGTGGCCTCAGGGTGCACATAGCCTGGCACAAGCGTCGTGGTGACGTCACCGCCACTTAGTGGTGAATGGCGGTTGTTGTTGTACGTGTGTGTGTACGTGTGTGTGTACGTGTGTGGGCATCTTTATACGTGTGTGTATGCTGTACGTGACAAACTCTACTAATTGGCTGTGTCGGGTGGTGGCGGGTTTAACGACACATTTACATTTACGCGATCTAACCCAAGAAAAACCTCTGGTGTATGCTGTACGTGTGTGTATGGTGTGCGTGTATGCTGTACGTGTGTGTGTGTATGCTGTACGTGTGTGTATGCTGTATGCTGTATGTGTGTGTATGCTATACGTGTGTGTGTATGCTGTATGTGTGTGTATGCTGTGTGTGTGTATGCTGTGTGTGTGTGTATGCTGTATGTGTGTGTATGCTGTGTGTGTGTATGCTGTATGTGTGTGTGTATGCTGTGTGTGTGTGTATGCTGTGTGTGTGTGCTGTGTGTGTGTGCTGTGTATGTGTGTATGCTGTATGTGTGTGTGCATGCTGTGTGTGTATGTGTGTGTGTGTATGCTGTATGCTGTGTGTATGTGTGTGTGTGTATGCTGTATGTGTATGCTGCATGTGTGTGTATGCTGTGTGTATGCTGTTTGTGTGTGTACGTGTATGTATGCTGTGTATATGCTGTATGTGTGTGTATGCTGTGTGTGTATGTGTGTATGCTGTGTGTATGCTGTATGTGTGTGTATGTGTGTGTATGCTGTGTATATGCTGTATGTGTGTGTGTATGCTGTGTATGTGTGTGTGCATGCTGTGTGTGTGTATGTGTGTATGCTGTGTGTGTGTATGTGTGTGTGTGTATGCTGTATGCTATGTGTATGCTGTATGCTGTGTGTATGTGTGTGTATGCTGTATGTGTATGCTGTATGTGTGTGTATGCTGTGTGTATGCTGTATGTGTGTGTATGCTGTGTGTATGCTGTATGTGTGTGTATGTGTGTGTATGCTGTGGGTATGCTGTGTGTATGCTGTGTGTGTATGTGTGTGTATGCTGTGTGTATGCTGTATGTGTGTGTATGTGTGTGTATGCTGTGTATATGCTGTATGTGTGTGTGTGTATGCTGTGTATATGCTGTATGTGTGTGTATGTGTGTGTATGCTGTGTATATGCTGTATGTGTGTGTATGCTGTGTGTGTATGCTGTGTATATGCTGTATGTGTGTGTGTATGCTGTGTATATGCTGTATGTGTGTGTATGCTGTGTGTGTATGCTGTGTATATGCTGTATGTGTATGCTGTGTATGTGTGTGCACTTGTGCAGGGTGTCTACATGCACCGTTCACAACCATGAGCTCCAGCGGAAGATGCAGCAGCTGGAGAAGCAGAATCTGTGAGTTGCACCAGGGCAGCAGCAGGGCAGCACCAGGGCAGCACCAGGGTAGCAGCAGCAGGGCAGCAGCAGCAGGGCAGCAGCAGCAGGGCAGCAGCACCAGGACAGGACGAGGGCAGCAGCACCAGTGCAGCACCAGTGCAGCAGCAGCAGGGCAGCAGCAGCAGGGCAGCAGCAGCAGGGCAGCAGCAGCAGGGCAGCAGCAGCAGGGCAGCAGCAGCAGGGCAGCACCAGGGCAGAAGCTCCAGTGCAGCAGCAGCAGCAGCAGGGCAGCAGCAGCAGCAGCAGGGCAGCAGCAGCAGCAGGGCAGCAGCACCAGGGCAGCAGCACCAGGGCAGCACCAGGGCAGAAGCTCCAGTGCAGCAGCAGCAGCAGGGCAGCAGCACCACCAGGGCAGCAGCAGCAGCAGCAGCAGGGCAGCCGATGTGGCCAGAGTGAAGCCAAACCCCTGCACACCAGGGACGCGCTCAGAATTCGTCAGAGGAAAAGCGTCCGTTACGGAGAGCGATTCGCGCTTGGGTGTTCGTGTGTACAATGCCAATGGGTGTGCTGCGTCGGGTGGAGGAGGGCGTACGACACGCACTGCATTCCACGTGCGCGATCCCACCCAAAGAAATACATAGCCGGCGCATCGTACCATCGATCGCTAAACCCCACGTGTTAAACGCATGTGACTGCATGTGTACGCGCATACGCACGCACGTGTACACTCGCGCACACACACAAGTGTATATGCACGCACGTGTACACGCTTGCACGCACGTGTACGCGCACGCACGCACGTGTACGCGCACGCACGCGCGCACGAGCACGTGTGGTGTGCGTCTTTCCCAGGTCCCTGTTGACGCAGCTGAGGCATCTGCAGTCCCTAATGAAGCAAGGCTCGGCCAAGGCAGCGCAGACTGGCACCTGCGTCATGGTGGGTTCACACGCACGGACAAAGATCCCCCGCGTAGCCTTGACAGACTGTTGGGGCAAGTGCTGTCAACGAGCGGCACCTATGAAGGCCGGTACTTTGGCACACGAGGGGGTGGCTGGGCAGCACCACGCCCGGCCGCCTTTGTCTCCCTAGTGGCGATGTTTACACACCACACCGGGTACTGTTTTGAGGCTGAGTCGACCTAGGGGAGGCCCACAAGCGGTTCAGATAATCGTCACCGATGTTGGTCGTGAGCGGGAGTTGGACTCGGGTCGCTGGGTTCTTAGCGCAGCGTAGCGCTAACCGCTACACTTCCATAATAGAATTGTTTTGGGTTAGATCGCGTAAATATATAAACGTGTAGTTAAACCTGCCACCACCTGACACAGCTGATTAGTAATTTTGTCACGTAAACAGAACGTGCCAATTCGTTACTAGTACCGCACTAACCGGTGTGTTGGAGAGCCAAGCCACAACATTTACAATCTGAGTACGACGTTTCGCCAGTAATTACAACCAGCTTCATCAGGCGATAGCCAGATTTGTGGACAAGTCCACCTGTTTCGTTCCTTATATACACACGCCATGCCACACACTCACTATGCCACAACAACAACAACCGCCATTCGCCACTAAGTGGCGGTGACGTCACCACGACGCTTGTGCCAGGCCATGTACACCTTGAGGCCACGTGAAGTGTCGAACGCCCACTGGCAGGAGGTCACAGGGTAGACCCAGGTGCCACGGGTCGACTGACTGAGATGACTGACTGTGCCAACCTGCTGTGCTTTAGCCACCCGGCGCTCCCGTTGTTGTGAGCGTCGCTCCTCCACCCTCCGTTGTTGTTGGAGGGCGACCGCCTCCAATTGCTCAGTAGCGTCCTTCACGAGCCTCCTCCACAGAGGCCGATCTTGACACCGCTGGTATCAGTCATCGGCAAGTCCACTCAGCTCCACGTCTTCCTGTACCACATCACTCCATCTCTTCTCTAGACCGTGCTGCGTCAATTTAGCCCCCTCCATCCAGCCGAACAAAAGCTGTTTAGGCCTGCGGTGACTGGGCATGCGGGCTACATGACCCAGCCAATGCAGCCTTGCCTGCCGGAGGAGCTCACCGATGGGACTTTGTCCAGTGAGCTCCTCACACAATCCAGCCTGGTTTATCCCAGGATGGATTGTAGGAAGGCCAGCCTAAATGTTTATAACCGGCGAAGATGTTCCATTATGGGGGTCCACGTTTCGCAAGCGTAGAGAAGGGTGGGAATGACCGTGGCCGAGAAGACCTGAAGCTCAGGTATGGGAAACTCTCCACTCTCTCCACAACTGCCCCATCACGAATTGGGAGTTGTGGGAGGTGGAGTGTCCGATGGCACAAAATACCCAGGCAGGTGCTTAGTTTTGGTGGGGCTGATGGTAAGGCCCCACCTCTTAGTGGCACGCTCCAGGTTCAGCAGCAGCGCCTGCAACTCCTCCTCTGAGTGAGCGACAGTTACCAGATCATCGGCATACATAATGTGGTTGACCAATAGGGAGCCATCCCTGGACTGCACCCGGGCATCGATCAGCCTCCCATTGTATCTGTACAAGATGGAAATTCCTCCGGTACATCCATCAAAGGCTTCACGAATTACGTGGTCGAAAAAGATGTTAAATAATGTGGGAGCCAGAGGACATCCCTGTTGCACCCCAAGGTGAACAGGGAATGGCTCCGACTCCCAGACACGTAGTTTTACCCGGGCCCGCTCACCATCATGCAGGTTCAGTTCAGTTCAGTTTATTTTGGTGTAGCCCTGTGAGCCATTCGGCTCTTGAATCGGGTGCAACCACAACAAACAAAAAAACTAAAACACGAACAAGAAAAACATCTTAAAGTGACTATGTGACTGTGCAAACAGAAAATCCATGGAAAAAAACAGCAAAAATATTCCTGAAAAAAGCACTGTACACCAACACTGTGCAAAAAATCCCAGTGGGATGCAAGTCAAACAACAACAACAACAACAACCACAAAAACTTAGATTAAGGCCATCAGTCTAACTCCGTACTACAACAAAACAAACGTCCTTAATGATTGTGAGCAGAGGGTCAGGGACTCCGAAAGCACAAAGAATAACCTTGAGCTCAGGTCTACTGATGGTATCATAGGCCTTGACCAGGTCAATAAAGCAGATTTGTTGGACTTGTTGGAATTCCCTACACCTCTGCTGTAGCAGACGGACAGAAAATATGGCATCAGTGCAGGACCGCCCTTTCCTGAAACTGCATTGGGGCTCCGCAAGGCTTTCCTCAGCGTGGCTGGCAAGGCGATGTTAAATAATCCTTGCCCAGGACCTTTCCCGGCACACTGAGGAGTGAGATGCCCCTGTAGTTGTTACAGTCTGTGTGGTCCCCCTTCTTTAAGAGGGGGACCACCAGGGCATCCTTCCAATCCTGCGGAACCCGTCCAGTGGTCCAGACTGTTGTTATGATGTCATGTAGGGCAGTCTGTGCACAAATGCCACCCTCCCTCAGCGTGCCTTTCCTGGTCTCAGACTCTGGATTGCCTTTAGTACTTCCTCAACAGATGGCACCTCAGCCAGCCACTCACAGGGGGTGACTTCCTCTTCCAATATTTGAGGCACCGCAGCATCAGCAGGGTCATCCCCACGTTGTCCCACGATTTTTTCCATGCCGAGGGATTTCCCCTCCCCCAGGACTTCACAGAAATGCTCAGCAAATCTGCAAACCTGTTCCTGGGGGTCGAGATTGGATCACCGTTTTTTCCCCTAATGATGGTAATAGGTGTGGCGCTGCAGGTTACTTTTTTGATGGAGTTATATAGTGATTTGTGATCGCGGGCCATTGAGGCAGACTCCATCTCCTCAGCAACCCGCGACCACCACCCATCCTTGCAGCGTCTCACGGCTCTCCAAACCTACGAGTGAAGGCTGCGGTAAGCCTCCTCATTCTCTGACGTGGGATGCTGTAGACGATGAGAGTGGGCTTGTCGCTTTTTCTCAGCCAGCCTGAACTCCTCCTCTGTCAGCCAGGGTCTCTGGGGAGGTCTGGACCATGTACCCGAAGCAGCCATTGCAGCTGCATGAGCCACAGTCCTAAACCTCGCCCATTTCCCCTCGACAGCTGGAGGAGTGGGGGACGATGCCAACCCCAGCCTCAAGCGATGATTAAATTCTCGCTTGCAACTTTTATCAGCTAGCTGAGACGAGGTCACGTTGGGTTTGAATGGGGTCCTGGGTGTACACCCACCATCGGAGTGGAAAAATGGCAGGCGCATCTTACAGATGACAAGTCGATGGTTAGTGGTCAGATCAGCTCCACGGTAGGTCCTGGTGTCAAGGACATGGGCCCGCATCTGCTTTTTCGTCACTACGTAGTCCAGCAGATGTTCTTGCTTGGACCCGGCATGCATCCATGATGTTGCGTGGATGCGCCGATGCCGGAACAGCGTGTTGGTAATTACAAGCCCATGAGCTGCACAAAAATCTAGCAGTCTCCTACCATTGTTTTTGAGCTGATCTGGCCCATGCCTTCCAATCACTTCAGATCAAGTGCCAGTATCATGACCAACTAGGGCATTGAAGTCACCCAACAGGATGACTCTATCCCGAGGGGCCACTTTAGCCAGCACCTGTGATAGGAGGTCATAGAAGCCATTTTACTTATCGGCCTTGCCTGCATCCCTCCACGGATGTTCGTCTTCGGTGGGGGCATGAGTAACCACGACCACCATTCCTCGCCTCTGGTTGATGGGAAAGCGAGCCCAAAGTAGTGTAAGGCTTACCGCTTCCCACACCTCACCGCCACGCTCCCACACCGCCTTCATTCCTTTGTTCAAAAGAAGAGCCACTCTCTGTTTATTGGTAGTCTCCTGCCCCGAGTAGAGGACTGTCCACCCGCATGGTGGCAGGAGCCAGAGCCGGTCCACCGGACCTCCTGAATACCACAGAGATCCTGGCGGTACCGGTCCAGCTCCCGACAGAGGAGTGGCAGCCTCTCCTCCACAGTGAGCGTTCGAACGTTCCACGTGGCCACCCTTAGTGTTTTTTTGTTTCTGGAGGAGCCCCGAGGATAAAGATTAAGTCTCCTGGCTCCGCTAAATGGGGTTTGGCCAGGAGACGTCATAGTTGCCTGTCCCCCCGGGGCCTCCGGCACAAGCTTATTAATTAGATATTTTAGACGTGGTTTTGTGGTAATTAATTGAAGGTGGAGGGGTTACCAGCCTCTCGCACCCGTCCAGAGCCCCCATTTGGCTGCTGCGGTGGTTATAAACACTATGAGGGGAATGGTCAATCTAAATTAGATCCTCCCCCCACGGTTCTGCCAACCACAGCGTTGCCATCACGACCACCGCCATGACCCCTACCACGACCCCTGCCATGACCCCTGCCACGACCCCGCCATGACCCCCACAATGACCGCTGCACGACCCCTACCACGATCCCTGCCACGACCCCCGCCACGACCCCTGCCATGACCCCTGCCACGGCCCCTGCCATGACCCCTACCACGACCCCCGCCACGACCCTTGCGACGACCCCCGCCACGACCCCTACCACGGCCCCCCGCCACGACTCGCCGCCATGACCCCACGTTGCGCTGCCGCCCACGTTGTGCCGCCCGCGCAGGTGTTCCTGCTGTCGTTCGCCCTCATCCTCTACCCCAGCTGCGGCCCCTCCTCTCCTGCCACCTCCGCGCCCGCCACCTACCGCCCACAAGGAGGTAAAGACGGCCACGCGAGGTTTGGGCGGCGCGGTGGTCGCACTCGCCCCTCACGGCAGGAAGAGGCTGGGGGTTCGAATCTCCGACTACGGCGCCTCTCTGCGTGGAGTTTGCGTGCTCTCCGCGTGCTCTACAGAGTGAGCGAGTGTGCGGAGTTTGTATGTCCCCTCCCTGTTCTGCATGGGCTTCCTCTGGGATTTCGTCCCATGGCAAAAAAAAAACAGGGAACCCAGAGTCAACCCATGCACCTCCTCTTCCTCCTCCCTCCCGCCTCCTCCTTGCTCCTCCTACCGTCTCCTCCCACCTCTCAGTGCTGTCCAGGTCACTGATGGACGCCGACGCGGCCAGAGTCGTCGCCCCCACGGACGACCCCTATGGGGCCTCCCCAGGGCCTCCCATCCCGCCCATCGCCCTGGCCGCTCCCAGCTGCCCGGCCCAGCCCGAGGCCGCGATCGGAGTCGCGGCGGAGGCCGCGATCGGAGTCGCGGCGGAGGCCGCGATCGGAGTCGCGGCATCCGAGAAGGTCCCTGGCCCAGTGGCCTCTGGCCCCAGGAGGAGACTCGACCAGATCCAGCGCAAGGAGAGAGAGGAGGAGGAGATGAGCAGGAGGCACGGGGCCCCCGGAGGCACGGGGCCCAGGAACCGGACGGCGCCGGGCGCTGCTGGGGGACACGGGGAGCGCGGGCGTCCCTACCCGGGGCCCAGACTGGGGCCCAAGTCGGGGTCCCTCCTGGGAGGCCGTGGGCGGCCCCCGCTGCACGTGACGGCCGGGGAGATGTAGGGAGACGGGAGTGGAGGCCACTAGAGATCGGCCGATGACGACTACGACGACGACGATGATGATGGTGATGATGGTGATGTTTGTATTCCATAGTGCATTTTATAGTAGTGCGTGTACAGGCGTTGAGTCGATCAACTGCTGGATGAGGGCCCACCCCAAGCCGTTATTTGACCGTCCGCCATCCCGCGAGGGAGCGGCAGGTTGGTGTTGAAGGCGGGGAGCGTAGAATGTGAGAACGTACGAGTACAGCACAACAACTGGTTCTGCTGCACTACCTTCCGTTGTGCCGACTGCACATAACCCTGCAGCCGCAGCAACAACAGCAACAACAGCAACCCATAGCAACTCTGCATTTGTCATGGTTGCCCATTCATCCAAGCACTATTCAGGTTCCATTCCTGGTCATTTGTTCACGAGATTTTCTATTAGCCGTAGTGAGTGTCGTGTGTGGGTAGCGGTAGCTAGTGTGTGTGTCGTGTGTGTGTGGGTAGCGGTAGGTAGTGTGTGTCATGTGTGTGTGGGTAGTGGTAGGTTGTGTGTGTGTGTGGGTAGCGGTAGGTAGTGTGTGTGTGGGTAGCGGTAGGTAGTGTGTGTCGTGTGTGTGTGGGTAGTGGTAGGTAGTGTGTGTGTGGGTAGCGGTAGGTAGTGTGTGTGTCGTGTGTGTGTGTGTGTAGCGGTAGGTAGTGTGTGTCGTGTGTGTGTGTGGGTAGTGGTAGGTAGTGTGTGTCGTGTGTGTGTAGCGGTAGGTAGTGTGTGTGTGTGGGTAGCGGTAGGTAGTGTGTGTGTGTGTGGGTAGTGGTAGGTAGTGTGTGTCGTGTGTGTGTGTGGGTAGTGGTAGGTAGTGTGTGTCGTGTGTGTGTGTGTCGTGTGTGTGTGTAGCGGTAGGTAGTGTGTGTGTCGTGTGTGTGGGTAGCGGTAGGTAGTGTGTGTCGTGTGTGTGTGTAGTGGTAGGTAGTGTGTGTCGTGTGTGTGTGTGGGTAGTGGTAGGTAGTGTGTGTGGGTAGTGGTAGGTAGTGTGTGTGTGGGTAGCGGTAGGTAGTGTGTGTGTCGTGTGTGTGTGTGGGTAGCGGTAGGTAGTGTGTGTGTGTGTGGGTAGCGGTAGGTAGTGTGTGTGTCGTGTGTGTGTGGGTAGCGGTAGGTAGTGTGTGTGTGTAGCGGTAGGTAGTGTGTGTGTCGTGTGTGTGTGTGGGTAGCGGTAGGTAGTGTGTGTGGGTAATGGTAGGTAGTGTGTGTGTGTGGGTAGCGGTAGGTAGTGTGTGTGGGTAGCGGTAGGTAGTGTGTGTGGGTAGCGGTAGGTAGTGTAGTGTGTGTGTGGGTAGTGGTAGGTAGTGTGTGTGTCGTGTGTGTGGGTAGTGGTAGGTAGTGTGTGTCGTGTGTGTGGGTAGTGGTAGGTAGTGTGTATCGTGTGTGTGTGTGGGTAGTGGTAGGTAGTGTGTGTCGTGTGTGTGTGTGGGTAGCGGTAGTGTAGCGCTTCGAATCCGGCGAACCCGAGATCGATTCCCGCTCACGGCCAACACCAGTGACGATTATTTAAATCGGTTCTGGGCCTCACCTAGGTTGACTCAGCCTCAAATGGGTACCTGGTTCGATGTGTAAACATCGTTACTAGGGAGACAAAGACGGCCGAGGATTGTGCTGGTCACCCACCCCCTCGTGTGCCGTACGGGCCTGCTTAGGTTGTCGCTCATAGCACTTGCCCCCACAGCCTGTTAAGGCTCAGCGGGGGATGCAGTAAGTCCCCGTGTTGCGGAAGACTTACGGCAATCCGACTTCACGGAAATGCTTTCATGAATAATGTTTTAAAAAAAATTCGACATGCGGAAATCCTCGCGTTAGTTACGTAAGCGCAAGCAGTACAGAGCGGCGAGGTTGTGGATGAATGCCGCGAAGCGAGGCGTAAAGGGCCGTCCATAAATGACGTCACGCACCTAGGGGGCGGGGGGGGGTTCAGACATTTGTGACGATGTGTGACGAGGGAGGGGGGGGGTGTTTGAGAAATGTGACGTCACATCAAAATGCGCAACTTTAAATAAATATAGAATTGTTATAGCAACACTAATTGTTATAACAACACTCCAACATCAGAGTGCAGCGCCACATTAAATACGCACTACAATGACAATAGTTTAAAGCGATTTGAAGCATGTTTTATTTTCAAAATGGAAATATGGTTTTGGGGGGGGTGGGGAAGCAGAGCTTTGTGACGTCATATTTGAGGGGGGGGTCAAAAATCGTCCAAAAATCGCGTGACGTCATTTATGGACGGCCCGAAGGCGGCTGCCCACCTTGTGCTTCGCTCCATCAACACCGAGCGAGCTTCCCGAGGATTCAGGGAATTGTCATTTTTTTGTAGCGTTAAGTAATTATTTTCCTTTTGTAGCATTACGTAAATCAGTTTTCTATGCTTGGAGCTAGCAATAGAACCGCTCGAATTCTTCATGTTAAGTTTATTTCACGAGTTATTTGCTGTATGTACTTTATTTAAAACACAATTACACTTCAATTGCTCATGGTCTCGCACAAGTCTAGGCCTTGCCTAATGCACGGTAAACGAACAATGTTTACGAACAATGTTTAAAACAAAAAAGTTTAGTCGTATTCATCAACAATTGGATACAGTATATGTTCTCATTAGTTTAATTATGGGTTAGTGTTACGGGTAGATGTTCGATTGAATACAAGAATCGTAGGAAGTGCAGAGCATATGTACAGCGATACGATACAGGTCGTGATAGATAACGGATGATAGCTCGATACAGAACTGAGAGAAAGCGAACCTACTAATCAGGTAGGAATGTACAATTATTTCCGACTGGGATTTTATCTTGATTTCGGGGGGGGGGGGGCGGGGGGGAAGAATCGTTCACTTTCCGACATACGGAAAATTCGGGTTACGGATCGTTCTCGGGAACCTAACCCTCCCGTTAACCGGGGGACTGCCTGTATTTGTCTTTGTGTGTGCCTCGTCGATCGTTCGCCCTATCAAGGGAGTTGGGCCCCACACACACGCGGCTGGTCGGACGCGTGCGGTTTTCCCGCGCGGTTCCATCAGCGCAGCACGCAGACAATGTCTCAACCAGCCGGCAGAACTCCATCATCAGACGGTTTAAAAGTAAATCTGTGCATGCAGAAAGAGAGAGGGGGGGGGCACCACCCCGCGTGGCAAACCCAGCCGTGACATCGCGCGGCAAATGAATGCCTCCTCGGGTTTATATTCTCTCTTATCGCCGTCGAGAATTTTTTATTGCAGCTTTGTGTGTTTTTTTTTGTTTAAAACGTTTTTACGGCATTTCTAGCAGCGAATTATTTGAGCAGTCCGAGGCGGGGTGCTGGGCACAGCGGGAGGGCACGGGTGAGGTCGCGCGTGGCCCTTGGCCGCACGCAGACCGGAGGGGGGGTGGGGGGCGGTGCGTTCCGGCGGGCGGAGCGTTAGTTCGGTGGTGGTGGTGGTGGTGTGGGGAAGTGGTCGGTGGGGTGGGGGGCCATGTCAGAACATTTCAAGGTGGCGGGCATTCACGACCACAGATTCAGCGCTGTGCCCGTGGTGGCGAGTTCATTTCAAGCTTAAACGAGCCCCAACGCCCGCCCCGTAGTGCCCCCCCTCCCCCCACCCACTGTGTGAGTCGGCCCCTGTCTCACTGTGAGCACGCAGGGTCAGGAGGTTCGTCATCCACTCGTGGTTGCGTCGGGTGATCCAGATGTGTTGTGACCCCCCCCCTCCTCCACCCCCAATTAATTGACCCCCCCTCCCCCCCCACCATTAGTTTCTCCCATTGCATATTCATTTCTGTTTTAAATAAACCTTTAAAAAAAATATATGTGACTTTTTTGAGAGAATAAAATGGGGGTGGGGGAGGGGGGGGTCACGAGACATCTGGACCAGCCTGCAGAGCGGGGACGTATCACAACGCCCTCGCAAGGAACGAGCAACCCGGTCCGCAGGGGATGCCCAGGGACAGCGGCAGCGGTGGCAGCGGTGGGTCCACGTCGTCTCTGAAACATCGCCCGCTGATGCTGCCTCTAGTCGCGTTGGCAGTAGTGCACAAGGAGCAATTAACATCATCAAGAACACCAACCTAACACGTCCCGTGTCAATGACGCTGTGTGTGGCCGTAGAAGGCGAACATTAAAAATATATAATGTGACGTTCGAGAAATTACCAAATGATTTATGTGCTCTGAAGAAGGACCATTGCCCGAAACGTCGCCTAATTCTATATGTGTACACACCCACACTCATTGCTGACGAACGGCCTCGAGTCCGTCTGGTCGACAGCAGCGGTTCCAGATCTCCCTGCACACCGCACGTGTCACTGCTAACCCTCAACACGTGTGTGTGTGGAGGTGTAACACACACGCGTGTGTGTATGTGTGGAGGTGTAACACACACGCGTGTGTGGAGGTGCAACATACACGCGTGTGTGTGGAGGTGTCAACTCACACGTGTGTGTATATGTGTGGAGGTGTCAACCCACACGTGTGTGTGTATATGTGTGGAGGTGTAACACGCACGTGTGTGTATGTGTGGAGGTGTCAACACACACGGTTTACCCGTATTCTTGTACAGGGAAATTGAGTTTTTAAGGTCCATACGGCGTACAGCCGTTTCAATACGACACAAAAAAATACATGTTTGTGTCTATTTGTTTGTGTTTCTCCCTTGTGATGGGACTGTGTGCAGGATGAACGTTGAGATTTATAAGGGGCACGGGGTGACCAATAAGGTCTGAGTTGGTTTGTAATGAGGTAGGTCACCGATACGGAGTTGACACGCGCGTGTGTGGGTGTCGCACCTCCACGCAACCCAATGGCGAGCGCCCTTCGTCAAGAGCCGGATGGCTCACAGTGCTATACCAAAATAAACTGTTCATAATAAAGGTTTTTGGGTTAGATCGCGTTATTTATAAATGTGTCGTAACCCTCCACCACCCGACACGGCAAATCAGCAAAAAAGTGTCACGTTGACAAAAGACAAAAAAATCACTACTTTAGCCCACCGGTGTGTTGAGTGAATCCACAACATTTACAGAATCCACAACATTTACACTGTAAATGTTGTGGATTCACTCTTCAACACACCGGTGGGCTAAAGTAGTGAATTATGTCTTTTGTCAACGTGACACTTTTTTGCTGATTGGCCGTGTCAGGTGGTGGAGGGTTACGACACATTTATAAATAACGCGATCTAACCTAAACACCTTTATTATGAATAATATTGGTCGCGAAAGCCTACGTGTCAAAATAAACTGAACTAAAACTGAACTGAAACTTAGCCCGGCTCTGAATCGCAGGGGTCCGGGGGGGGGCAGCTTCCCACAGACCGCGTCCCA